TGAACCGGTCAGATTTTGACCCAGCACTCGTTGGAAAACGTAAAAAGAAAGTCAAAAGGTGTCCAAACCCATTGTTTGTACAGTGGCTAGGCGAATTAAAAGAAGATGCAGCGTCTAAAAACTTAAAAAGTCAATACACATATGCCAAGGTAGATTTTATTTACAGTTGGGGACAAAAATAAATGACAGGTCGATTTTCGATCACCATTTCCTAATTATGGTGGTCTGAAAGCCCATAATTTCCAATATTGTCTAGATATATATCCCTTAAAATTTGTATATTTTACATTTTGTATAATCTCATCCACTGATGTATGGCCTCTTGTAAATTCTCTTATAACATGGGAAATCCTCACTTCAGCAAATCCACCTGTCATTTATTTATGTCCCCAACTGTATTTTGTTTTTTCATGACAACGTCAACGATACGAATGAACGATGGATGTGTTGCCCTCCAGCAAGTAAAGAAATCAAGACTATAAAATGCATGATGATTCAATTTTAATCGCCACATTGGCTTACTTTAACAATTTTACACTGCCGTCCAACTGTTCCGCAAATTGCGTATTTGTCACACATTGCTGAAGAAATAGAAGTCACGCCAGCTTTTTTTGCGTGGCAGAATATGTCACGCAAATACACATTTTACCACAGTCAGAGAGAATGTTCTGGCGAAAGGAGATTGGGATTTCAAATACAATAAGTTGGGAAACCCGAATGAAAAAAATGAAGTTACCTTTCTTAATTCCTGAATCTCTCCGAAATTAGCTCATCTTGGTGACTGTAAATTGCACAGCTGTATTCAATGGAGTCTTTTCATATTCGATCAGCCTCAATTTTAAAGTGTATATGTTTCAATATATGCTAACACCCCTACTTTATATATTGAACTGATCCAATGTACTATATACTATGTATCTTTACCTGTATGAATCACTTATGACTTATTACTTATTGCTCTTAAGTCCATCTTCTTAAGATGCTTGAATAAAGTTTACTCTATTAAACTTACTAACTATAGCGTTATGTATCAATTACCAGTCGACAACGAACAGCATTGAAACAGTATATTTTATTTTTAACGTGATTTCATCGTTTTTTGTCGACTGGTAAAATTCCGTCCATCTTCTTAAGATGCTTGAATAAAGTTTACTCTATTAAACTTACTAACTATAGCGTTATGTATCAATTACCAGTCGACAACGAACAGCATTGAAACAGTATATTTTATTTTTAACGTGATTTCATCGTTTTTTGTCGACTGGTAAAATTCTGCTGGGCAAATGGCAAGATGGATGACCCTTGACCTCACCTTGACCGATGGTGATCACGACTGGCGGTTTCAAAATTTTCTAAAATCGCTTCAAATAATATTATGTTAATTCCTAGCAAGTAAACATATCTCATAGTTTGCTATTTCACAATAAGATAACGAAATGTGTAAGGAATTCGCTTTTATCAATTAAAACATCACATCGACACGTGGTATTCGTAAACTAGACAATGAAGATAATGAAAGCGGGGGGGTTTTGCAAAGAAATTCTCAACGCGCTGCATAGCAACCGAGGAAAAAACAATTAATAGGGATAAATAGCCCAACGAGAGTCGGCAGTCTTGAAAAATACTTGGATCTTGTTGCCAGTCCTGTTATTGATATCATTCCCGTTCGAAGAACGTATTAGATGTCCGTGCATTTTACCTGATAATTGTCAAGCAACAAGAAAATGCAGCAACCCCCTAATATAATAATATCCCGTGCAAGGACGATAGTCCTGAGAACGTCTCAATGTTTTGCCTGTACGATTATAACTTCAATAGATTCCTGGGTATTTTAGCATTCTTTTCGTGTAGTTGAATCAACAATTAGCTGGGTTTATCGGCAGAACAGGAACATTTTTCTTTTTCATCGAGAAAGATTCCATCACTTTTCAAGATGGCGGTTGGATTTAAAAGGGGATTCCCCATTTGACTGGCCTGGAAATGACCCGGAAGTACCAATAAATGGAGGAATTGGACAGTTAAAATAAGTTAAATATTACACGCAAATATTGCGATCAAAAAGGAAAAATTCTTCGTTCTGCGGATAAACCCAGATAATTGTGGATTCAACTACAAAAAGAATGCTAAAATACCAAGGAATCTATTGAAGTAGGTATCTTAAGTGTAAGAGGCATAGAAAATTCTCCCATGTTATAATCGTATAGGCAAAAGATTGAGACGTTTGGGACTTTAGATTGAGACGTTCTCAGGACTATAGTCCTGGCACGGGATAACCTCATAGTAGTCTACTATCCAATAGACTGAATATCTTGAGAATTCAGTCTATTATCAATTGATAATCGAAGATCGAAGAAACTTTAAACCAATCAGTGAGGTCTAGATTATTTGTTTGTTTAGTTGTTGATGGGGCAATAGACGTCACAGATGACTTGGAATGTGTATCATGCTATTTTACGACATTGCATAATATAAGCTAAATAAATTTTGGCTTCATTTGAAGTTATATTGAGGACTTTTAAAAATGTAAGAATGAGCTAAAGTATTTTTTACTCTTACTTTCTGACTTTTCACGCAAATTCTGTATATGTCACGCATTTGGTTCGAAATGTGTGTATATGTCACGTATTTGCTTCAAAATTTTTTGTACCAATTTCACAGCCATTTATTATTGCTAAATTAGCCTAATTAGTGCGTGACATATGCACAAGTTTCGAAGCAAATGCGTGACATTTTCAGATGGCTGAAAAAGTTATTTGATCATGTTTCGGGTCATTCTGACCATGTACATTGTGATCATGGTCATGTAAATGGTATGTGGAACTAGTTAAACTGAGGGGGTCAAAACAGAACTCTGTTATCTTGGTTCAAAAAATATTCAAAATCCACCATGGTTTTGTCACTTTCTGTTTTTTGTCATTTCCTGTTAAGTAGCATGGCACCTTAACATTATTTGAATATCAGAATTAATTGTCTTTTGTCTTTCTGTTTGATGCTCAATTTTGTTCATTTAATATGTCATTTTTTAAGTGCACTTCTTTTCTATACTTTTGGTCACCATTTTTATATCAGGCAATTTTTGATTGGATTTGCAATTGTATATATTGCTATTATCTAGTTTTCTCATTTTTCAGGCACAAAATGCATTAAAAAAATATCCAATAGTTCTTCAAAGTGGGAAAGAGTGCAAGATATTAGAAGGCTTTGGTAAGTAAAAATAAAAAAAAATTATGAATTACACCCATTCATTGAATTCTTCATCTAGTAAGCCTTGGCACTATATAATCTGAAGTTATATAAATAACGGAGCGGATAATACTAGTATTGAAACATAAATATTATACCAGAATTGAAATATTTCTATCTTTAGGTGATAAAATCTGTAAACTACTTGATGACAAGTTGAGAGAGCATATTGAGATCTTTGGTAAGTAACCCTGGTACCCTGCCATCTATACAGCCTATCATTTGGTTATCTACTTTGTAAATCATGAAAATTGTGATACGAGAATGATCATTGGCAGTCTACAGTACATTTAATGGACTGTTTTCATCATATGCAAAAAAATACATTTCAATTTTTCTGTCGTATGTAGTGTAATACAACTTATCTGAAATCCAAAGCAAGAACACTGATTCTGGATATTTTCCACTTCATTCTGTACTTGTTTTAAAGGTGGAGTTACTGTTCCTGATGATGATGTCTCAGATCAAATTCCCACTAAGCCAAAGAAGAAAAGAAAAGACCCATCTGCTACATGTACTTCCACATGTAATCAAGGGGCACCTATAGATGGCATTGATGATTTTGGAGCCTTAACCATACCCAATCCACCAAATGAGGGCAATAATTTGGATGCCCCAACACAGGTGAGACTCTCAATCTATGCAGTGTATGTTGTTTCTATTCTAGACCTTCTTGGGCATTATTTTTCTCAAGTCTCAATGCCTCGAGGTTTATGTACATTTACATGGATATTTACATAAACATAATGTTGTACATGTACATACTTTTACAGTTGATGTACATATTTTGAGTCTGCATATTTACATGCATGTGCATATTTTTACAGTTTGCGTACATAAACTCAACATACATATTTTTTACAGTTTTTGTACTTTAGGTTCCAGTGTGTAAAAGGACATTTTTTCTCAGTACCTAGTGTCCTTTATCTTTATTTCAGGATGTTTCTTTAAACGCAAATGGAGATGTTGAGCACATAGATATTTCAACATGTAGTGCTTTTCCAAACACTCAACAGACTAATCTTAGTGAAGATTTAGTGTCTAAAATAGAATCTCTTGAAATTGAAACTCGTGATTATGGTAATATAGAAGAACCTACTTCAGATACAGCCACTACGGATGATTGTGCAGTTACACATGTAGAAGCTCTTACTAGGCAACAAGACAGTTATGGAAATGATGGTGGTGATTTGCATGAAGACTTTGATAATGTTAAACAAGTTATTCCAAACGAATTGTCAGTTGATGACAGGAGTGATTTTGATCTATCAAAATCCAGACTAAATAGTCAGATTGAAACACGGAATGATGACATTAGTAAAATAGATGAATTAAAAATCAGTGAAACTTCAGATCCAAAAGAAGCAAAAAGGAACACAGACTCTGAATTGATAAATGATGCTTTATGTCGCGGGAAAAAGGAAGCTCGAATCAACATTGAATCTACAGCTCCAACTCAGACGGAAAATACTAAGAAATTTAAATTTAAACCCATTACTAAGACCTCCAGAGAGAATTTGTTAGTGTTGGTTACCAATAATTCTAGTCAAAATCAACAAAAAATTACCTCATTCATAAAACCTTTATCTGCAGTTTCACAAACTACTGAAAATATTATCCCTGGTAAAATACTCACACCAAAACCTATTAATGATGCTAAAATTGTGCAGTCGACGATATCAGGACGTGAATTCACACTGCCACCTATCATCAGTGAACCAGCTATGCTACCGGTTGTGGTAAACTCAGAGTATATTCAACTGGTGGTGTTTGACTTGGAGACGTCTGGCTTGGGTAAGGACATGATATTTTATTATACACTGTACATATTTAGGAAATCCATTGTAGTAGATGAAGCTTAACCACTCATAGTTCAATTCAATTTCATTAATATATCCTTTCTTACAATAAAAATATTTTGATATGTTCCCTAACTGAAAATATTGAATTGTATTTGGGCATTTCCCTTCCAGTTCATAACATGTACTTTTTGTATATATGGTGTCTATACTACCTCTTGGGCGCACTTGTACATGTTTATATTTTATTCCTTTCCAATTGCTGCATATTTTGCTTTAAAAATAATATTGAAAGTCATGAAATATGGCATGCAAATATTTTGTTTTATCAATCAATTAATTATAAAACATGGAGGAATCATAAGTCATGTCAAAAATTAAAAATCCTGAACATTTTTAATACATTTCTCTTTGTACATGTTTTGATTGTCATATATAACATGTACTTGCAGATGAATCTTGTGAGATTATACAGATTGCCGCCCGATACCCTCCCAACAATCTATTTAACCGATACATCCTCCCAACAGACCGTATATCCAGAGATGCCGCCAGGGTCACAAAACTTTACCATAAAAAAGGAAAACTTTTTCATAACAGACAAAAAGTGCAGACTTATACATTTGAGACTTCAATGCAAGATTTTGTGGCTTGGTTACCATTGGGTTCTGTACTAATAGCTCATAATGTTTTGTTTGACATGAGGTTTTTACTGAGTGCAATATGTTCGACTAACCAGGAAACGAGGTTCCGTGAAAAGGTAAAAGGATTTGGCGATACATTACCATACTTTAGAAAGCTTTACCCGAACAGAAGGAAATACAATCAGGAAAGCCTCATTCGGGATCTGATCGGGAAGGACTATAATGCCCATAATGCAGTTGGGGATGTCCAGGCGTTATCTCAGCTCATAAGTGACGTTCAAATTCAGGATATCTTACCATACACTTTCACAACAAGCTGTGCATTTGAACTGAAGTCGTACACAAAATCCAAACAAGAAACTGTTAAAACATTGAAACCTCTAACCGATGGGAAAATAATCAGTCAGGGCATAGCTGAGAAAATTGCTGGATCAGGGTTGAATTTGTCTGATATACAACAAGTGTATGACACCTTAGGGGAGAATGGACTGAAGCAGATGTTCACCCAGAAAAATAATGGGAAGGCTAGGGTGACGAAGAACTCCAAAATCATAGCATCAGTTTGCAGTTTTATGGCAAAGAAATGATTTTAATTGCTCAGATCCTAGAATATAGTTGAAATAAATACCTGAAGTAAAAATACCCTATATTGAAAAATATGAATGGTTTTAAGACTTTCCAGATAGTGAAACTATGGTTGGATTTTTAGAAACTAGAAACATTCATATTTTTACTTACATGAACAGTCAGACCTGTGTAAATGGAACACTTTTATTATCTGTAAAATGTTTCATCTAACACTGAGTTATTGTATCACATGCTTATGTAGGTGCTCCACTTGACAGCTTTAACTGTCATGTTATATGGTTATGTTTCAAAGTGTTCGCCCCACACAAAGTAAATGCATTTATTAAATGGATCAATAAATAGATAATATAATAACATTTAATATTATTAAAGTACACTCACATGTTTATATTTCAAAGATACATATTTAAAAATACAATGCAATTGCACATGACATCCTGGTCTTCCTAGATAGACCACAGACTAGAGGCTTCAAATCAATAGACATTAAGGCTTACATTTAAATAACTGGGTGCAGTATGTAATTGAACGTTTGAAAATTAAATTGCTCCCAATTAGAAATCAGTTTGCCCACAATTTAGAATTTTCATAACCATAAAAGTTTATAATTTGAACTAACTTATGTAAAAGGTTAAATATAAAAAGTTTTATCTAGTGATACAAATCCTGCACAGATGTGTTTTAATATAGTCTCCACACCACAAAAAGCATTGCTGATAGAATTGAAGATTAGTAGCTTCCATATAGAAGACAGGACCACCAATATCCAGATTGCAATTTTAATTATATAGTAGAGACAAAGTTGATTGATCTGTTCAATATGCCCCTCTCATATAGCTTATTGTCAGTAATTTAGACAACACTATCTCCAGTCAGTTATTTCATTACTCTCAGTTTCATTATAGAGCGTTCAGTTTGGTAGATGCATCAGTTCTTTGCTTTCAGAGGCGAAGAAAGCGAAGTAGTGGAACACGGGAGTATATCCCTCAGTACAGGTCTGGACCATATGCCCTACTTATTACACTCTACAATGACTCGAGGGTAAGTCAATACAGATAATTGTATTCATCTCAGGGGTGTAGTCAGAATCTAAAACATAATCGAGGCATTTAAGTAGTCGAGGCAAATTTGAATGAGATATAATAGTAAAAAGCTTTATTAGAATGTCTGAAAGAAACGATTTTTCAGATTAGGTGATTAGGCATCACCTACCTCATAACAAGCTATGCCCCTGATATCTATTTCTATTACCTCAGAGACTTGTTTTAAAAAATATTGCAAATCGAGAAAAGAAAAAGTCATCTCCATAATTACTTTAAACGTAAAAATGGAAATTGACTTTTATATAATGAGCCCTCTCTGGAAGGAACACCTGTCTACAAGGAATAATTTTGGCCAGTGTAAGTGTATTTTCCACATAAGGTTTTACTGTGTTATACAAGCATCATTTCCTCTTGTCATTTTCTCTTTGTAAAACTTGAATTGTTATTAATACATAATTTTGTTGTGATCATTTTATTCTGTAAAGGAGCCTGGGAGTAGAGGTTTTATGACCAAGAGACAACTACAGACTGAGGCACAGCCACTAGCAGATAAGTCATTCACTATTGTAAGTGCAAGTTTGATAGCGCATATATTTCACAGTTAGTTTGTATTACCACAAATGTACATGGGGGTAAAGCAGACCTGATGATGCAATGAGCTTGCTCGGCGGTATCATGACTGTGTAACGGGGCTAATGTATAAGTGAGCTCGGCGGTAGGTTCAAACAACGCGGATCCTCAAAGCATGTGTTCATGGTATCATCGTGGCTTAACACCCATGAATGTAGGTTACATAGTTTGCATATATTATGACAAAGTTGAAATATAGACTAGACCTGGCCCTTGGGCATTTGATTTCAACATCAAAAATTGGAATAAGCAGCAAAGAATGTTGAGAAACGTTGAATTGTGTTGTCCTTAGAAAATGCTTTCATTTATTTATTGTTTGCATTTATTTACAGCCAGACCCTGGTGTACGTTACACAGCATGGTCTTCTATGGGGACTCTTATACAGAAAGGTTATGTGATCAAGGAGAGCAATCCAGCCAAGTATGTTACATCTTATTTCAACATAAATTATTCTTATGTCCCCATCTTTGTGAATGTCTTTTTCAAGTGCACACTTTGACAGGGATGGTAAAACTTGCTCTTATGGTTTGATAAATAGATTGAGATTGAAATGGGAAAGTTAGGTATCAAATCAATATTGAAAGTCAATGATCATTTGAGCCACTTTCATCACGGGGATAATCTAACTTTATGTCCACCTAATATTGTAAATGTGCTCCTATAAATGCATCTAGGTCCATCAGGTATCACATATGCCTTAAGGAATACACTTAACAATATGCTATAAATGTGTAAGGCTTGTAGATATATGAAGCCTACTTGTTAACATTGCACTTCATTTCAATTTAGGTACAGTATCACTGACACTGGCTCTGAACTGGCTGATAAAATTTTACGCAATGCACCTGATGATGTACTCAGAATGCAACAGCCTGCAGCAGACGGAGCTCCACCATCAGGATTGTCTAGAGTGGCAGGTGTTGTTAATGGCAGTGACAGTCAGATGATGGGACCAGGCAAAGCCAATGCTAACATAAAAAACAATAACCAGGATACATCACCAGATGTGTATGTTCCTAAATTGCTTTTTTTAAAGTCAAAACAAATATCGTATGAAGATGTGACACGCTACTTACCTTTGCTATTAATGATGCAAACTAAATTACTTAACTGGAAAAAATCATTGCTTTGATAAAAGTCAAAATGAGGGAAGTATTATTATTTTGTCACCACTTAAAGTGAGGTGACAAATTGTAATGTAGGTGGTGACATATTGTAATGGTTGCCATTTTTTGAGACAGCGTTCAACATTTGGTGTTCAGTGTCTTTGACAAATGGCAAGTGGTGGCATTTTGCATGTTAATGCCTTGTTGGAAGCATTGATTCTTATATCATTGAGTCTTATATCATTTGTGGAAATCCTTGCTAATTGCATCTTTGTTAAAGTTCAATAACCTGAAACCAATTTCAGTTTATCTAGAGTACCTAAAGTTGCAGTGATAGACCTCAGTGAGGATGATGACCTCCCACTGGACTCACCTGGGAGAGAAAGTCCTCCTAGGAACTACAGTCCACTTTCACTGCCATCTAGTCCCCTACCTGAGATTCATGCTACAAGCACATTAGACATCAATCCTTGGTCAGATTCTGCAAACAGGTAATGTTGAATGATTGTTTTAGCAATAGTTTAAAAAATATGAAAAATAAAGTAACTTTTTTTGTCTACCCTATATGTTGAATCCAATATATTTGATGCTTAATTTCATCAAAATACAAAGAGGTCAAGTGGTTGAATAGAAAATGGAGGAATAAGAGTAATGAGACATTTATTTCCACACTAATTGTGCATTTTTACAACCTTAAATGGAGGACTTAATAATAGTCAAAAACCAAGGCCCTACTATGTTCCACTTTATACTGAACTTAATTTGGCGCTACTCATTCTGGCGGATTTGCTGTTTTGAACATTTGGCGGCTACTTAATTTTGCGGACTTGCAATATCACTATGCACTTATGATACTGATTTATGGTACTAAAATTACCGGGAAATTTGGCGACTACTTAATTTGGCAGACTTTAACAATTTGGCGCCAAATAAAGTAGAAGTACAGTAGCATGATTTCAATGCTTGTTGCATTATGGTTTTAGATTGTTGTACTGTTACATTGATGCAAATGGTCAACCAGTTACAAGTAAAGACAATGCTGCTGTTAAAATAGATGGTGAGTGATAGTTAACCAATATCTGCACTTGGCACACATTGCTATAAAACATGCCATCCCAAGTTGAAGAACAATGAATTGAGCAAATTATTTTTACACAAAATATTTAATCCACCCCTGGATTTATGATCCCCTAATCTTTGAACTGTTGTTGCAAATGTTCCCTTCCAACTGCTTGCTTGTCTCACAAAAAAAAAAAATACTCAAAATAAATGACATAATTTACACATTTTTTAAGGATCAGAATTGTAGACTTTTAATAGATTGATAACAATAATGAGGAGATTAAAGTAATTTTTCCAAAATGTTTTTATTATTGCACTTTTTCAGCCACCAGCATTGAGAACATTCAAATCATTTTTTTTTTGATCATTTTCTATCGCACTTTGAAAAAGTGCTATATTATTGTTGTTTTGTGCTGCTAAGCAGGTGTGTAGGTGAGAAGGAGCCACATTTAATCTTGTCATCAAAATTCAAGGAAAAGTACTTATCCATTTAACTTAAATTTTACAGATGCAAATATATAAGCACTAGTGCCAAAGGGAAAGGACCAAAAGTTGTAACAGAACTTAGCAAGAAAAAGCAAACTCTAAGTGCATACCAGTCAAGAAAAACAAACCCCATATAGCCCAAAAAAGTTAGTTTTGATTAGGTTTTGGGCATGTTGGGTAAATTACATGGTGGCAGTTTTGTTCTTCAAAGTGCAATATTTTTCATCACTTTGTGTCTTGTTTTTACTTGCAGATGATGTGACATTTCTAATAAGATGCAAGTACACAGATCTTCTACTATCAGGGCTTTTATATACTCTGGATAACACAAGGTAGTGAAACATAGCAATTCAAAACATTCATGTATTTACTCAGAATATGCTGGATTAAATAGTATGTCCTCCCATCTCTTTTTAACAACCATAAAATAAGTACATGTACAATCCATGCCTCTTTATTGAAATTAAATTGTGATTCCAGCATGCTAAATGACATTATTGGATCTCAACTTTAACTTTAACAGAATCAAAACCAGAATAGTGCCAAATCTGCTTATGTTTTGGGCTTTTTGGGCAACTAACAGCTCGGTCATTTTGCTATTCAAGTGCAATGTTTATCAATCTGTCTCTTGATTATAATGACAAGCTAAAACATAGAAATACTGTGATAGTCCTGTGGGTCTCATATAAATTGATTTCATTGACATTTTGACCCTAGCCTATTTGAGACATTAACACTTAACAGAAATGCTTTGCTTTCAGGAAAAGCTATGATGACTATGTGTATGCATACCTCAGTAACATTGACTCTGCAGATGTATGCACTGCCCCAGTCCTGCCTGATACCAAACATAAACTATCTAGTAAGTATCTTCATTACTGTAGCTCACATATTAGAGTTATATCCACAAGAGAGCTATTTACTTGAGAGCTGTACCAATAATAACGCACTGTTTACTTCAAGAGAACTAGTTATATTTTATTCCACTTTTTCAAAGTGCTATATTGTGATTATCAAAATTCCAGGAAACAGACGATTCTTTGAATTATGAACTTTTAAGTTTTCAGTAAATCTTGTTATCAAAATTTATAAATCACTCCTAAGATTCAATTTAAATTTTTACAACTTTAAGATGGTGTCCCAGGCCAGATCTGATACAATTTTTTGAACTTTCAAGGGTGCAATTTTGTATCTTCATATACTGGGTGTTTTGCTCTTCAAGTGCAACAGTTATCACTCTGTATAATGTTTCACTACATGCTAACTTTTTGAATGTGGCATATTTAATGATTTGAGAATATTTATGTATTAACTGTTGTTTTGGATTGTTACATCAGAATACAGGATGATTCTATAATTGGAAACCTATAATTTTGCCAGATAATGAAGTGCAGAAACAACATCTCTATGTGTCAACTTTCTTGGAAGATTGCCACAGATTTAATTTTATTAGCATAAAAGAAGAACAATTTGAAGAAGAAATGTTCTCAACCGTGGTGGAATCAAATTTTTGGGTCACTGTGTACATAACATTTACACAATTTTCTCTGTTTTTAGGTCAAGATGTGAATGGAAATAATCATATCAAACCTCACAAAAAGTTAACATCTTCAACTGAATCAACTTCAGCATACTCAACCTCTGCTTCTACATCCAGTTCTTCAAACAAGCCATGCAATTATAGTGAAACATCTACCTCAACAAAAACTTCACATTTTAGTGATTCAAATTTTAGTGATTCACATAACAGTGCTTCACGTATCAACCCTTCTTACACTAGTGCCAAAAATAAGGAACCAAGGACTAAACAAAAGGAAACTTCATCTGAATATTCAACCAGTTTGTCTGCAAGATTAAAAAATAAAAATCCAATTATGGAATCTCAACAAGATATTGTTCCTGGAACCTCACAGGAGAACTCTCAAAGCAGTTATTCCTCATTGTTAGACCAAAGAGCATCCTCCAAGGAGAACTCTCAAAGCAGTTATTCCTCACTATTAGACCAGGGAGTATCCTCCAAGGCGAACTCTCAAAGCAGTTATTCCTCATTATTAGACCAGGGAGTATCCTCCAAGGAGAACTCTCAAAGCAGTTATTCCTCATTATTAGACCAGGGAGTATCCTCCAAGGAGAACTCTCAAAGCAGTTATTCCTCATTATTAGACCAGGGAATATCCTCCAAGGATAGTTCACAGTCATCTTCATCATCATCAGTGAAGAGTCTCCCAAAAGTGAACTTTGTGCTGCAACCAGGTACATTTGACATTGTGTTATGTGTGGACAACCAAGAGGTCTATGGTGCGGGGTAAGTCCTGGTGTCAACAATGTTATTCGATCGTGGGAAAATGAAATTATTATTGTTTTAAGCCCAACTCATCTCCTCTTAACAAAATTTGAAAACGATAATTTCTGTTTATTTGGTTTGGCGGTTTTGGCCTATAAATTAATTAACATTATTCGACTCAGTTATCATTCAAAGCAATAATAGATACAAACCAACTCTCTTGCAAAATAACCAGGGTCTCGTTTTTGTACTTTTCGTAGTAACGAATGTTAGTCCATTGTTTGATTTTCATAAAGTTGCATTTTCGTGAGATTTCTAAACTTGCGAATGATTTGTAAAATTACTAAGAATGGTGCAAAAACTGGCTCCAGTACTCTATGTAACTACGTTCATATGCAGGTCTAACAAGCAAGCCATGGTGGCTGAGTTGATTAAGCATGGAGTGGAGAGCGATGTGAGGAAACTGCAAGTTGGAGATTTCTTGTGGATTGCCAGAGAGAAAACAAAACCAATCATGGGTATGCACTTAACCTTGTGAATTTAATATCTGTATTTAATAGAATATACAGGGTAACCCAAAAATATAACACACAAATCTGTTCTGCTGAATAAATGGTTCTACTTTTTTGGGTCACTCTGTACTATACACATACAGGTAGTGTAGTTATAACTGACTTTGATATGCTATTATTTTAATCTCTTTTAATCCTTGGTCACCATAACACCTTTAGATAATCTCAGTTAGATTATATCACCTCTCATCATCTTATCCATAGCTGATCATTTCATCCCTAGGTCATTGTCACTATACAAGTTCATCGGGCCTATAACATTTCTTGAATAAATCATGAACAAGGGTTAGTGTTAGACGGAGTTGTAAGAAGACATCATTGCTTTGTATTTGTGTATTCAGTTCAGTTTCCCCAGGTATGAGACTCAGTATTGACTATGTTGTAAAGTCTCTAACAGCTTTGTTATGTATTGTTGTATTCAGGTCAGATCAAACTATGACTATGTTGTACTGTCTCAACCTCATAGTTATGTATTGTTGTATTCAGGTCAGCTCCAACTATGACTATGTTGTAAAGTCTCTAACAGCTTTGTTATGTATTGTTGTATTCAGGTCAGATCAAACTATGACTATGTTGTACTGTCTCAACCTCATAGTTATGTATTGTTGTATTCAGGTCAGCTCCAACTATGACTATGTTGTAAAGTCTCTAACAGCTTTGTTATGTATTGTTGTATTCAGGTCAGATCAAACTATGACTATGTTGTACTGTCTCAACCTCATAGTTATGTATTGTTGTATTCAGGTCAGCTCCAACTATGACTATGTTGTAAAGTCTCTAACAGCTTTGTTATGTATTGTTGTATTCAGGTCAGATCAAACTATGACTATGTTGTACTGTCTCAACCTCTTAGTTATGTATTGTTGTATTCAGGTCAGCTCCAACTACCCCAGGGAAGAGAGCTAGTGTTAGACTATGTAGTAGAGAGGAAACGTATGGATGATTTAGCTGGGAGCATATGTGATGGACGTTTCAAGGAACAAAAGGTACCTACTAATCGGAAAAATTTAAACCAGTTGTCAAAATTAAATCATGATATCATAAGTAAAACACAAAGCCCTTACAATATTTTTAAAATGCTTCGAGAAATTTTAAAACTATTATCATTTGAAGTTATTTAATGCTATAATTAGTGATTTTTGCTTATATCACTGTATTTTCTAATCTTCAGCACAGACTGAGACATTGTGGTCTTAGGAAGCCTATATATCTAGTAGAGGAGTATGGTTCTAGGCAGCATTTCAGTATAGGAGAAGACGCTCTCAACCAAGCAATAACAAATACTCAGGTCAGTATACAGTTAGGGCAGGGGTATTTCACAGTTTCAATGCTTGTCGTGATTTTTCAAAGAAAAGGGTGTATGCCTTTTGATGGCATTAGATGACATATGTAATTATTATCCCATCGAACAAAGTTCGGAGGGATATAGGGAATGCCTCCGTCCGTCCGTCTGTCCATTTTAAAATATGGCCACCATTTACAAGTTCATGTGCGTGATTTTTTAAAAATTTTATAGGTGGCTACTTAAAAGCATATTACATCTTCTGACAACTTGTCTAGTGAGCAACCATTTTGAAAATGGTGGCCTTTCTTATGTGTGTTGTTTCATGATATTTCCTATATATTTCGTTTGTAAAAATGCCAGCCATTTCTGTTCGATGGGATTGTTGTTCTGGTTAATAAATTAGAAACAAGCAGGGTCACTGTACATGTAAAAGAACAAATGCTACTCGTGGGATATTGGGAATAGCATAAGCCATATATATTTTTCAAATAGTAGAAAAAAATTCTAAAAACCTGTGAATTAATTCCCCTGTTTCTGGATTTCTAGGTCATAGACCAGTTCTTTGTGAAGCAGACTAGAGACACTAAGGAATCAGCTGCCTACCTTACTGTTATGACGCGATACCTGCAAGCTCACTATAATGTAAGTAGCATTGCTATATCACTTTAAAAATAAGTTAATCCCTGCTGCTCAACTGCTCAACATGAATCTTTTTTGATGTAGTGAAATGGTAGGGTTTATTGGAAAGGTCTGTTAAAGGGTGACGCATATCGTTTAGCAAATCGAACGCTCGTTTCTGGTGTTGCTCACCGTTTAGTATAAAAGGCCCGATCCCGGAATAATACTCAAGGGTTCACAGGTTCGATGTCGTTGTGTCAACACCTCTAACTGTTATATAGCATAAGTATATTATAGATCGTCACACATTTATAAAAGGGTGATTTTTATTTTGACAAATCAATTCCAAATTTATGGGTGAAGTTTCAGGATCTTCTATTTGTGTATAATAAGGAAAAATTGGCATCTAAATTTACCCATAACGTAATAGCACACAGCTTGGCATGTGAAATATCCTACAAATGAAACAAAGCAGTTCTAATACAAGGATTTACAGGGTGACCGGAAAAAAAGGAGACCATTGAAATAGGCAATATCTCCTAAAATAGACTAGTGACATCAATGAAATTTTGCATACATCAGGACAGTTCTATGGAAATTTGTTCCTGAAAGTGTCAATACAAGCAGTCAACTGGTTCAGGAGCTATGATCATTTACATAACATGCTCCAAATAGGCGCAATTGAGACCAACGCAGAGCTGGATACATTTGGCAAATACCCTTACATATTCCGACCTTGTTATGGCATTACATTTAGCATTTATTGCCACCTTTAGGTCAGCAATTGTCTCAGGATTGTTTTGGAACACATTGTCTTTCAAATTGCCCCACAAAAAGAAATCAGGTGGATTCAAATTTGAGGTGTATGGAGACGAAGCTTATCTGACCTATGGCTTCTGACTCAGTGGTCCCACTCAGTTACAGTATCATCCTAAGGAGGTTTTGGGCAGCCCTTGGTTTTCATATGGGATTTAATTGTGCCATATAGTGGTTTTAGTAACATGGCACTATGCCCAATACCTAAAGTGACTCTTAAGATTTGGTAAATCAGCACTTTGGCAACAGGATGATGAACCACATGTCAGATTTGAATCCTGCTGATTTCTTTTTGTATGGATATTTGAAAGACAATCTATACCAAAACAATCCTCAGACTATTGTTGAGCTAAAGAAGGCAATCACTGCTATATGTAATGCCATAATAATGCCATAGAGGGCAGAACATGTAAGGGTAGTTTGCCATATGAATCCAACTCTGCGTTGGTCTCAATTTTGCCTATTTGGAGCATGTTATGTAAATGATCATAGCTCCTGAACCAGTTGAATGCTTGTATTGAAACCTTCAGTAACAAATTTCCATATAACTGTTCCAGTGTATGCAAAATTTCATTGATGGCACTTGTCTAGTTTAGGAGAAATTGATTACTTCAATGGTCTCCTTTTTTTCCGGTCACCCTGTATATTGGCTGTTGTACATGTACTGTTTGAACGCAATCACTCCATGGATAACGTTTTCAAAATCATTATAAACGGATTACTTTATCTCAAAGACAATGTCAATAAACTGGATTTTACAGAACTCCCCTTATTTCTTAAAAATGGACTGATCCAGTTGATTCGCCTGGAGCCGCCATATTGTTTTTATACGGGATGCTTATCGGAACCCTTTAAGTACAAAATGGTATCAAACATTGATTATTCTTGAGAAATAGAAAATTTATAAATATGAAAATCCCTGTACCAATGACTTATATTTCAAAAGTTCAGAATATGATTTTAAAAATAATCAAGTTTTATGGTTCAAATGGAAATTCAATAAAATAGGTAGGTCCATAGGTAATATAGCCTCCAGAGTGCTTTATATTTCAGGGTAAGACTCTACATGCTTGCCACAGGGGTGACCTCATTGACTATTGCGAGGAATTGAACATCAACAGCAGTAAGCAACATCTCATGACATTTACTGAGTTCAATGAATCCAGTATTAAAACAAAGGTATACACACTTGCAATATTTCAGAGATAATCTCATTTATTTTCTGATTGAAAATTCAAGCTACATATTTAAACTATAGCTTAGAGCTGATTGCTTGATTTTTTATTTTTACTTGGTATACTTTGAAATGAATATTGCATGGCCTGGCTGAGCGGTTTTTTGAATAAAACATTTTGTAATCTCTTGTTCTTTCAACTGATAATTTTGCTAAAATTCTGAGGAGTTAATTCAATATTTAGGTACCTAGGGTACTGAAACCAATATAAGATTCAATGTTTGTTTCAGGTATCCAGTGTTCGTCAAATGTTCGGCAAACATCTGATGATGATACATGGATTGACCAATGAAAAGGCTTCTGCAATTGTTGAGAAATATCCAACCCCATCAGAGTAAGTGTTATAACATGGCAATATTTCCATCAGGTAAAACCTGTGTATACATACATTTATCCTATGACAAATGAGGTTTCAGGTACATGACAGCGGGATGTAGAATTGATATCTTGGAGGAGCGGGACATATATATATCTCCCAATGTGTATCTCCCGCTCCAATATTCGCGGGAATAGAAATAGTCAGTTTGTTGGAATATCTTGCTCTAGCGAAACTGTCAAAATGGATGCATCATACGGGAGAATTTTTTTGACCAAAATATTGATGGATTTCTCGAAAATAATGAGAATGAGAACACGTTAAAAAGAAAACAAACCTGAATTTAAGTGTCCTGAAAACTTCACTTGTGAAACCTCACATGTCATTGGATAAATTATTTATGCGATGCTGGGTTTTGAATATGGGGTATATCCCTCGGGAAACACAATATCTTACCTCGGCCCTTGGTAAGATATCTATATTTACCTCAGGATATTCCCCATATCCAAAACCCCCCCATAACATAACCCTTATCTACCTCATCCATATATTTAGCATATCCGCATATGTGTTTAGCCCCAAAGTAGCTTTGACTCAATTATCATCATTTCAATTACACAGCAAGGAAAAATGTGATATTCACCCCTGTGGATTTCTTAAACTTGGAAAACAAAAATATTGATTGATACTTTATATTGCAATTTAACTATTCAGCATTTAGGTCATCTATCTCAAAATGTGAATGGCTTCATTATGGATTTATATATTGCTTCACATGCTAGTGTTTGAAAAAAGCTGTCAAAAAAAGTGTGGTCCCTATGTAACTTTTAGACTCTGTGGATGCATTTATCCACTTCTAGATGTTGAACAGAAATGAACTTGAAATGATCAATTGCATTTTTCTGTTACAGTTTGTTTGATGCCTTTGAAGCATGTTCCACGGTGAAAGAGAAGGAAACACTGCTTGCACCTATAAAGTTTGGAAATGCTAACAGGTTTGATATTTAAATTAAAGCTATATAATCACCTAAATAGAATGTGATCCATCCATCCATCTGTGCCCCCCCCCCCCCTTCAAAGTGTAACTTTATATTTAGTGGATTGATGGTAAATGGTTTCGTGCAAAAAAAGTTTTCTTTTCAAAATTTTTACTGCTTCAGAAATGGCAGGTATTTTAGCGAAAGTCAAAGTTTTTCATTTCAAATCAAAGTAATATTATATGTATGAAATTTTGATAACATCCCAAATGGCTTCTTCAAAGTGTGACTTTGTTGGGATTTAAGAATAAAAAATGTAATGGCAGTGTATATGTTCTGTTGCAGGTGTATTGGGGTGGCCATGAGTAAACAAGTCTATATGCTCTACAACTTACATGTGTCACATTGAATATTGGAATCTAACCTACTACAGTTCTTGTGTGTCACAATGGCCATGGAATTCACAATAATTGTCACATTGGCAGTGGAATATATATTTGTGTGTCACACTGATCATGGAATTTACAATACATGTATGTCATACTGGCCATGGAATATACAATAATTGTCACACTGACCATGGAATTTACAATTCATGTATTTCACACTGGCCATTCGATATGTAACTAAATTGTGTTACATTGGCCATGGAATATAGTATATTTGTGTCACACTGATCATGGAATTTACAATACACATAAATCACAATGTACATTCAATATATTGTGTTACATAGGATATGGAATAGGCCTACATGATAATTATGTGTCACACTGAACATGGGATTTGGATTTACAATGTGTTTGTCACAATGAGCCTGGAATTCAAAAACTGCATTGAACATGTTAAAGAAAAATGTGAGATTTACTTCACTTAACTGCAATAATTTAAAGTTAAAAGAATTACGAGAGACAGGGTGTAAAATGTTGGGTGCAATCTTTTTGAAAAACATGCCAATGGTTACCCTTTAAATCGTATTAAAATGATACCATATTAAGGGGTAACCCCGGTACTATTGCTTAATCTGCTTTTATGATAAGTTACAGATATTCCAAATAAGTCGGTTGCTATTGAAAATTAAAATGCATGTATCACAATCACTATGGATATGTTACATGATTGTGTCACAGTTGCAATTTTAATACATTTACCATGAAACAGTTACTATGGAGATATTATATTAGTATCCCCATAAATGAATATGAATGTTGTGTAACCAAAGAAACATATCTCAAAGTAACTCTAGATTACTGAAATATGGTAACCATGACTTTATCAGGATTTTGACTTTTGTAGCACATTTTGTATCTTCATGAAATGAATTTTGGTTCTCTTGTCCTTTGTGGGAATGACCTTGTTGATTTTATTGTTCCACATCTAGACTTGTTAAACATACAAACTAAAAATTTTTTTTTTGAATTTTATAAACATTTATTGTTATATAAATATTATTCATAATTTTTTTTAATATTTACATTTGTGCGTATCAAGACAATGGATAACAAATATACGATAAAGATAAATTATGATTATAAATAAATCAAACTCTTTGAAACTTACTTTACTTACTTTTGTTAATCAAAGACAAAAGGATTTTTTGGTGCTATGGAATGACATTTATTATTAGTATTATTTACTATTCAAACAAAGAAGACCAAGTTACCACTATTGTTATCTGGGCATGTTAACTATATTGTTATACTATGTACATTATGTACCCTCGGGTGAGATTTAAATAAATACATAGTTACTTAAAAGAAATACATTTTTATTCCTGTATGATAAGGGACCAACTCAACATATCAATGTACATTCACAAATGTGGAATGGGAATGGAGTAAAGATTCATAAATCTGCTGATGCATATTCATGCTCGTCTAAGAAGTGGCTTTGATTTATCAATAAATTTTCAATTATGAGGAGGAGACTTATCTGAAATGTAATAATGTTTGACAGCATTGAAATACTGAGCTGGTCCCTTTCACTTGTCTGCAACAGAATCTTTTTTGGAAATGCAGGTAGACAAAAAGAAATTTGTTTAGCTATCCCCTTCATCCTTTCCCCAGACAAATATACAAAAAACTGCTAGCATATTTCATCACAACTATTCTGACTTGACAGAAATGTTTGTTTTTGTATGTTATAACTTATAAGCATTCGATACAAGGTAGAGTCTCGTCCTTCAAAAATTTCAAAACCTTGCTCTACATAGATTTTTAAATAAGACATATGAGGAAGCAATGGAAGGATCTGATGATAATGCAGCCCAGGCCTGTAATATGCGTTAGGTTGGTTAGAACAGCACTGTTCACTGTACATTAGAATTTCACAGAGAAAGATGCTCCACATGAGCAGCCCTGTTCTGCATTTGGATTGTCTATAACTCTGAATGCTGATTTAATCAGCTCTTCATGATAGTCCACGGTAGAGCCATTAAGATATTCCACTGAATCCTCATCTACAATTATCTTCACACCTTCCCTTTCAAATACTCTGAAAATATATAACATACATTTAATATTAATATTAAATCCATAATGGCAATGACAAACCAGTCAGTTGAGAATTTCTGAAAAGATTTAGATGACTATCTTTTTTATTTCAGTAAAATTTTTTGAAATTTTTGTTTTTCACCAGTTTTAGACATTTTTAGACAAAATAAGTTAAGAAACAATAATTTTACATCTATTTAGAAAATATCCAAGTTCAATTGACATGACTGCAAAATTACTTAATAATTACTAGACTCATAGTAGTAGCCTACCTATCATCTTCATTAACTGTTTTGTCGACTTCAAACTTGTACTGGAATCCAGAACATCCCCCTCCCTCAACTAATATTCTCAGTTGTTCAGCACCAATTTTCTTCATTCGCTGAAAATATGATTAACATGTATATGAATAAGAAGAGTTAGCTATCTATTTACATGGTTAATGGTATTTTATTGTATGCTAGTACACTGTATTTGATTAAATGTGTACTCCCCGTCCCCTCTCCAAGAAATACAAATAAAACTGAAAATGTGAAATCTTCAGGTATTTTTTGCTTTATGGATTTTCATGAGTTGTTTAGAGAATACATGAAGGATTTTTATAAAATAAAGCATTGTGGATGAAATGAACAATGCAATATCATACCTTACTCCATGACAGTATTACTATTTATTGTATATCATATTAAAGGTTTCCATTGGTATACTATACTTTATATATTGGTCACTAACAGACTATAAATTGTGAGTCATATTTTTTCTCCTTTGGTAGCCCCATCATGTATTTTATGTCATGAGTGAATTTTCTGGAGTGAAGGCTGATAAGTGATATAATACTAGGCTATTATACACTTCTAAGAATACATAAAAATCAAGTAATATTATGTGTATCCCCGGGGGGTTCACTGTATATAAACCTTGATGGGGATCCTTGGTGCACATAGGGTAGCTTTTTTGACATTTGGTATGGCAATGGACCCTAATTTTAGGATCTGGTATGAGAATGGCCCCCCAAATTATATATCATACTTCAACATACCTTTATGCAACTATCACTGATTTGCACTGTTGATTTGGCTGTTGTGACTTCGGCTGGTGTAGGAGGAGTCGGAGCTTCCTTTGGAGAAGTTTGTGTTGAGGCAAATGACCTTACTGTCATTTGACAAGTTCTACAAGCTGCTAACACATTCCTACAATTTCACAAAATCATTTTGTGATTGTGATCTGTTAGATCTGGTCATTTTAAAATGAGGCCTGACTCAAGTGACATCTATAATTAAAGAGCGACAAATGAGGCTGCTTGGAAAACGTAAACATTTTCACATTTTTGCTGAAATCATTCTTGTCATATAACCTTAAAAGCCTAATGACCTTAAGGTTATTCTTTCCGAACAACATTTTTGAAAAAATTCCTATACCTGCACATGTTATTTTCTGGTACAAAATAAAGTATGAAGGCATGTGTGTATTTCCTTGCTTTTTCAGGAAATTATCCTTGCAATGTCTTCTTTTAGTAAACCTGGTAGCAGCTGGTCAATGGCAATTCCAGGAACTGCTGATATTTCAAGAAAAATCATTCAAAATGGCCGCCTTTTCCATTTTCCAAATTTCTTTTCAAAGTTTCTCAATAACACTGGATTTTTATTGACCACTTACTAGATTTTCATTGACCAATTACTAGGTTTACTTCGAGAAGGCAATGTAATGATACTTTCCTGAAAAAAGCAAGGAAATACACACATGCTTTCATACTTTATTTAGTACCAGAAAATAACATGGGTAGGTATAGCATTTTTTTCAAAAATGTCGTTTGGAAAGAATAACCTTAAAAATGAACGATTATCCTGACCCGTTGGATTATATATTTTCCAAAATAGGTATTACGTGAAATGTTAAATGTAAAGAATGAAGTACATTTTTTTAACTTATTCTTAACTCATCCATTCTAGTCCAATTAAAGGGGAAACTGATAGTTGGGGGGCAATTAGGTACATATTGTTTCAACATCAATGATCAAAAACATTATTGAAACAAAATACAATAGGATCTTAGTGGGAAGATAACAATTTCATAACTAGATATTGATTGAGCAATGAATCACAAAGATCACGATTATGATGAAAAGGAGTCAGAAACAGGACATTGTATGACCTGGAAATGAGTATATAGGTCAATTGAACTGTGCATCTGCAAAATGAAGAAATCTTGAAATTATGATGAAAATAAACAATTATGAAAGAACTGTCTTTGAGAAGGCCAATGGACGTATCGAGTAACTAAGCATGTTTTTCAATATTTCTAAATATGCTTTTTAATTTGGACCATTGCTAAAATTAATTACCTGTTCCAATAAGTGCTATTTTGAAACAAAAGTAGACGAAATCTTGAACTTGAACTAGCCATTTCGTAAAAATTATTTTGCTCCTTCAACCATAACAATTTATTCATTAATTAGGGTGATTTTATCGCAATATTATATACATATCTGGTGTATTAAATGTTACTTAATGTTCCGCATGGATGGGTCAACAAATATATCCTATAATCTAAGAGTAAAATTAGATTTTATACTTATTTGTTATTAATACTTGCGGCTAATACATGTGCGCATGCTCAGTCCGCGAAAACATAGAACTCTGGGATATATTGTTAGCTTCCGCAATTATAATTTTGATGAAAGTTGTTTTAGAAATGACCTCAAACTAATGGCAAATTCTCGAAGTATATCACATCTATGGCTTATAATCAAAGACTAGAGCATAGATGAGACATTGCAGTCTGTGTAGATGTAACATCAAGGAGTAAAATGGTGTTCTTCAACGGTTCTTTGAAGATCAAAGTATGCGAAGCTTCGGATCTGAAACCGACCGATTTTGCGACCAGACATATGGTTGGGAGCTTCAAGAATATTCAGTCAATGCAACTGATAGATCCTTATGTAGCATTCGACATAGATGAGGTCGCTATAGCAAGATCAACGTCTAAACAAAAGACTTTCAAGCCAATCTGGAACGAAGAGTTTGAAACAGAGGTGCACAATGGCCAAATAATTGGACTTACAATTTTTCATGATGCAGCCATTCCACCTGATGAATTTGTAGCTAATTGTTTAATACCCTTTGATGCTGTGCATGATAAAACACAATCAGATGTCTGGGTAAGCAATTGGACTGTACTAGCACTTAAAACAATATCTCCTCTGTCAATTGATGACATGATACCACAGAAATTCCCAATATTCCTTAGCCAACTTGACAAAAATATGAAGCCTCTGCTATTTTATACTTAGAAATCTCCCATTGCATACATCTTCATAATTGTCAAAATACTCCATTCATTCAGTGGATTTCATGTTGGTATCCCATTTCAATTCTTGTGTTGACACTTTTGGATTTCTAAGAAACAATAACTAAAACAGGAAAGAAATAGGGAATCCCAGCAGAGAATCTATAACTGATACAGGCCTATATGGTGCTTATGTATTATAATATATGCACACATTGATCAGATTCCAAATGACAGCATATTCTACAAATACAAGCAATGTATACTATTGCTGAAAACTTTCTTTTTAGTAATGTTTGTATTTTGTATGTTTTAGGTTGATCTAGAACCAGGTGGAAGAATTCATGTATTATTGGAGCTACATGGATCTGCATCGGAAGGTATTTATCAATAGCACTGTCATTCAATAATACATACACATAAACTCAATGAAACCTGTTGGATTGGTCAGAACTTGTTTAAAGCTGTTTTTCCTAAAATAATTTTGATAATTTCTGTTTGTCCAATTAGTGATTTTCAATACTTAATCTTTTCATGTGTAACAAGTATGTGTGAACACTTCACAATTACAGAAAGTCTGTGCTCATTATTATTGATAAACATGGTATTTGTATATATCATAACAGTGTAATACTAATCAGATCTCACCTGAATTCATTGTAAAAATTGTTTGCCCTGCAAAATATGATTATGTGACGTGTATGTTTACAGTTCATGCAAGTGCCTTGATATTCTTGTTAGGTACTGGACACATCTGTCTGAAATTTAAAGACAATTAGCGTGAATATACAGTTCCAGCAATGTGACATTATACATGTATCTCATTGTGATATTAGTGCTCTAAAGTCCACTGAGCCCACCTGGGAAATGAAAATAATGCACTTATTGCAATCTTCTAGGTCTGGTTTCTGCATCTTGGGAGATAAGTGATCCCCCTTGCAATGATTTTGTATATTTCATGAAATTTCATAGTATTCATACAAATATCTACAGTTAATAAATAGCATAATTTTTTAACATGCATTTTGATGTTTTAGATAATTGAAATTGCCAAAGTTATTTGTTGTATGAATTTTAGGGGAGTATCTTTCTTTTTTATAAGGGTTGAGTTCAATTAACTCTTGTTCTGATAATTTGATGGATTATAATATTGTCATATAAATGCACAATTATCATCACTATACGAGAGTGCACTGTGTATTCTTTTTAAAAGTCATTGTCAAATCTCTGATATTTTAAAGTATTTAGCATAAGATGATGCCACCCACCAAGTGTGTCCATTTGCATTTGTTCCAGAAACTCGTCTTTATGTAACCTTACTGTATATTATCTTTAGGATTAAACTGTGTTGTATCCAAGGTCTTCTTTCTTTAAATTATTATTGGGTTTCATTTCTTTGCATATTCCTTACATTGGCTTCAGTGTCTTCTTTTCTTGCATGGTATTCAGGGGTCACTATCTTTGCATGTTTATCTCCTTATGTCTACTCTCTTCTTTCCTCACAAAAGTACCAGGGTATGCTTTCCTTGCGCAAGATTGCATTGGTTACGAGGTATACTTTCCTTGCACATAATTGCATTGGCTACAGGGTCTGCTTTCCTTGCGCATAATAACATTGGTTTAACAAGGTTTACTTTCCTTGCACATTATTGCATTGGTTACGAGGTATACTTTTCTTGCGCATAATTGCATTGGCTACAGGGTCTGCTTTCCTTGCGCATAATTACAATGGTTTAACAAGGTTTACTTTCCTTGCACATTATTGCATTGGTTACGAGGTATACTTTCCTTGCGCATAATTGCATTGGCTACAGGGTCTGCTTTCCTTGCGCATAATTACAATGGTTTAACAAGGTTTACTTTCCTTGCACATTATTGCATTGGTTACGAGGTATACTTTTCTTGCGCATAATTGCATTGGCTACAGGGTCTGCTTTCCTTGCGCATAATAACATTGGTTTAACAAGGTTTACTTTCCTTGCACATTATTGCATTGGTTACGAGGTATACTTTCCTTGGGCATAATTACATTGGTTTAACAAGGTTTACTTTCCTTGCACATTATTGCATTGGTTACGAGGTATACTTTTCTTGCGCATAATTGCATTGGCTACAGGGTCTGCTTTCCTTGGGCATAATTACATTGGTTTAACAAGGTTTACTTTCCTTGCACATTATTGCATTGGTTACGAGGTATACTTTTCTTGCGCATAATTGCATTGGCTACAGGGTCTGCTTTCCTTGCGCATAATTACAATGGTTTAACAAGGTTTACTTTCCTCGCGCATAATTGCATTGGTTACAGGGTCTACTTTATTTACATTGGTTACGGGGTCTACTTTCCTTGCATTGGTTACAGGGTCTACTTTCCTTGCATTGGTTACAGTGTCTAATTTCTTTGCATGGTTCCATGCTCTTCTTTTCTTGGGATAGTTTCAGTGCCTTTTACTTCATATTGTCTTCTTTATTTGCATTGTTTCCAGGTCTTTTTTATTAGAAATGTTTAAGGATATCCTCTTCTTGCATATGTTCTGGTGCCTTCATTACTTTCATTTTGTTCCATGACCCTTTTCCATGTATTGCTCCAGTCTTTTCTGATTAACGATTCTTGTATAACAGTGGCTCAGTTTTTCATTTTAAAACATTTTAAACAGTCTGCAAAGTGTTTCCAAGTAATTGTTTGGGGGAGTGAGATATATTTTTGTTCAAATCTCTTCATGTTGGATAAATATTACTGGAGGTAGTTCAATTTAATTTTCTTGGAGATATTATTGCATTTAAAAAGAAGTCATACATATAGGGATCATATAGATGAGTTATTATCCCATCGAACGAAGTTTGGAGGGATATAGGGAAAGCCTCCGTACGTACGGGCAATAGTTCAAATACCATTGGCCAGATTTTGTTCATATTTTGTACACATATACCCTATGGGGGTAGAAGTTCTGCCCGAAAGCTGATTTTCAAAATGGCCGCTCATTTAAAAATGGCGGCCATTTTAGTGTAATTTAATAATAATTTAGGTGCAATATGTAAAACTGTAATAGCAATATGTTTTAAATGTAAAAAATTATATAGGACATGAATAAAGCTAGAAATGTAGATATTAAAGAAGCATGTGGCAGCCATCTTGAAAAAAGGCAGTCTTTACTCATTATTTTACGATTTTTGCTGTAACTCGAAAAGTAGTTGAGCGATTCTGTTATCCTAAAAATGACCTGCTCCTTTTGATCAATACACTTGTAAGAAGCTATCCAGTTCTATAGCAGATTCCCCGTAATTTTCCAATTTTTTTTCTAAACTGAAAGTAAAATTCCAGCATTTTTTTCTCAGTCGTGACTCATATAGGCACTAATAAGGACAACTTTTTTAACTGTTTTGAGTTTTGACTTACTTTTGGTGTGCCATTTTAGACAGTTTTCTATAAATCTTATCACAATTAGAAAAATAGCTCATTGGATCTTCCTCAAATTCAAACACTTGTTATCAAGTTATATAGCAATAAACTAACCTTTGGGCTCTCATTTTCATTTTCTTTAATGTAATTATTGTAATTATCCCACCAAACAAAGTTCATAGGGATATAAAGAAGCCGTTCGCATGTTAGTTCGTTCATTTGTCCAGGTGATAACTCAAAAACCAGTCAACAGATTTGGTTCAAATTTTATAGGCTTCTGCCTTATGTGTATAGAACCTCTGCTGCAGAAGGAATTTTCAATGTGGTTACTCAATTCAAAATGGCCACCATTTTTCATAAAAATATAGTTTTTGGTAACTCAAATACCAGGTGACTCATGAGACTCAAATTTTATGTGCCGATTGCTAGGGCCATAGGAACATGTTCTCAAGAAGAGATTTTAAAATGAATTTTAGAGTGGTAGCTATGTTTCGTAAAAAGATGTAATCTTCCGTAACTCGAATACCAGTGGAAGGATTCAGTTCAAATTTTATACGCTGATACCTAATGACCCAAAAGCTCTGCTTGAGAAGGAATTTTCCAGATGGGAGTTGAATGGCCTTCATTTTTCATAAAAGCAGTCGTCGGATTTTTTTCAAATTTCACATGCTGATGCCTAGGGACAAAGGAGCTCTGTTTGCGAAGAAATTTTCAAGATGAGGGCTGAATTTCAAAAAGCCACCATTTTTTTATAAAAAATTGTAATCTTTGATAGCACAATTTGATTCAAATTTTAAATGCTCGTGCCTAGGGATAAGCTTTGCTCAAGTAGAAATTTTCAAGATGGCTGCTATTTATCAAAACATGTTTTATGTTCATTGGGATTTGCTACGTGTATGTTCATTCAATGTTCTGCAGGGAAGGGGGTGTTATTTACAGAAACATTAGCAGTGTTTTGAATCTTAGCAATGTATATGATTTTTTGCCAATATGGCCAGGTTAATCATTCCGAACATATCAATACTACTTCATTTGTGGAATGTGGAAACTGAATACATTGTCGTCTTTTAGAAATCTTGACACTCTTATATTGAATAATTTCAAATTATTCCATTGTACAATTTCAAAAAAAAAAATTTTCACAAGTATGAAATCATCTGTAATAGTCAGAAGTATTGTTACAAACTAGTGGGAAACCAGGGTAACATTTTGTCAAGATCCTCATGTATGTTTTATTTTCATGACAAATCAAGAAAGAATTAAAATGTGCTTTGTACAGGATTTTATTGATTTCAAAAAGCATCAAGGCTCGAGTCAATAGAGGGCTCTTAGACCTGGTCTTTTTCAAAAGTTGACTCCGACATTTAAACAGTTCTGCTATCATATCCTAAATATAAAACATCAGCTACAGTTTTATTTGTCTTACTTGCTAGAATTGGAAAGAATCTTTTTCAATGGTTTTTGATTTGACATTCATCCAAAGTACAAATTTCTACACTCTTGAGCTAGGCCTTTTCTACCATTATGTCTAAGTCACAGTGGCAATGTTAAACACGTAGATTATCAGATCGTTGATATTGGTTGATTTGTATGGAATTTCAATAGCCTACCTCATTCCACCTTATATTTTAAATAAAATATGAGCTACATTTAAAAGATTGTTAAACACCAATATAAAAAGAATATGCTAGTCAATGAACATATTTATATGCTCAAATACTTAACATAGACTGATCATCACCAAAAAACCTTTTGCAGTGAGACTATTTCTCATGTTAAGCACTGATTGGGTAACATAACATGTAAAATAAATGTGTACATGTTAAAGGGAAGAAAGATAAGATAAATGATAGCATAATGCAGAGCTGGGGCTATTTCAGCTTCTTACATACACGTTACTGGATGTATACATTCTTGTGGAAAGATCTTATTAACGATGAAGTCGATGCATTTCCCAGGTCAATAATATATGAAGTCAATCAGCCAATATTTTGTTGAACTTGTCAGAACTATATGGATAGAACATTTATAAACATTTACATTTGATTTTGTGTTTTTCTTATACCAGTTATTCCACATTTTTCTGTTTTGTTGTTAAATTGTTTTATTATTGACCCCACATGTTTGTTACCTTGGAAGTGTCCCTTTAAACCTGACCACCTTATCTAAGTACAACACAACACAACATTTTAACTCTGTTGTTCCCATGATTTTGGTATCAACTACATCTTTCTTCAAATCTGATTGTATGCTATCAGTATCTGAAGTATATCCCATTATATTGAACTACATGATCCAATAAGACTGAAGCCTAAAGTGCACTTAAAGCAAGTCCCTTTAAATGAAATGTTCAAGAACCAAGACCAAGTCCCTTTAAATATATTGGATGGGATCGAAAATAGATTCAACACTAACAAGGATCTGACTATCAGTTATGGTTAGAGTTTGATTTTAGTAACTACGATGTCACAAAGAAAACCTCTATATTTTCAGATGCTGTGGTGCGGGTGGAGCAGAACAGCTCCAAGGAGCCGAGGGTGTTCAAGGAGAAGGAAGGGCTGCTCAATAGACGTAGGGGTGCTATGAGACGGCGTGTTCACCAAGTGAATAATCACAAATTTATGGTCACCTTCTTCAGACAACCAACATTTTGTTCCCTTTGTAGGGATTTTATATGGTGAGTTGATGGTTAACTTTCTAATCCGAATATTTTGTTCTGTTGTTATTTCAATGGTGAGTCTGTTGTAACCTTTTTAGGTCAAACATTTTATATCCTCTGTAGGTATTTAATATGATGAGTTGGTTGTAAACTTTCAGTCACTTTGTTCCTCTTAGGTCTATAACATGGAAAGTCAATGGTAAACTTTCAAAGTCGAGCATTTTGTTCTCCCTGCAAATATTAAATAGGATGAGTTGGTTTCTATCTTTCAAGCCAATCATTTTTTTCCTGCTGTAGATATTTTATATGGTGAGTGGTAAACTTTCCAAGTCAATCACCTCTGTATAACATGTAAAATCAATGGTAACTTTTCAAAGCCAATCATTTTGCTCCCTTTGTATGTATTTTATAGTGAGTTTCAGGTAAACTTTCCAAGTCAAATATTCTATTCCTTCTTAGTCATATAGCATGTCAATGCTAAACTTTCTATTCCAATTATTTTGTTCCCTCTGTAGGTATTTTTATATGATAAGTCAATGGTACATTTTCTAAGCCAATCATTTTGTTTGCTCTGAAGGCATTTTATATCATGAGTCAATGGTCAACTTTCTAGGCCAATCATTTTCTTCCCTTTGTCGGTATTTTATGTAATAAGTCAATGGCAGATTTTTTATGTTAAAAATTATGTTCCCTTTTAGGTTTATAACAAGAAAATCATGGAAAACTTTCTGAGCGAAACACTAAACATTTAAAGCTTGTTGAAGCTGAAACTCAATACTGCATTCTATCTAGTAGGTTTTGGTCTCAATTTGAAGAATATGTTCCAAGAAAGTATACATTTCATTGATTCTTAGAATTGTCATTGACCCTAAGTATATTCTGATCAAAACATTATTCAATAAAACAATATCATATGTTTTGCTCAAAGTGATTTCCTCAGGATAATGAAATGAAAATATCAATCTGACTCTCTAAGAACATGGATGAGGTATGACCACAAAGACCAATAGACCATGTTTAAAAATTTGAGACTCATTTTCAAGAAAGAGGGTTTATTAATGGAGAAATGTTACATTTATGGCCACAGAACATTCATTGTCAAAGAGAGGAGAGTCAAAAATCACTTGAAATGATATTTGTTAAAATCCATAAAAGTTAAATGTAAATGCCTAAAATATTGAATTTAATTTTTTTTTTATATATATATTGAGGTATTGTTTCAGGCAGTTAGATATGTGTGACTATTATGGCCAAGTGGTTATATGGGATGGTACAAATTGATAAAAAAAATTAACCATCTAGTATGAAGTTAAGAATAACTTTTTCAAATATGATCTTTCTAAATCTTCTGAATTTTCTAAGGTATATAATGTGTGTTCAGTGCAAGAAGCAATAATCCTTATATTGTATTATTGACTTAGAGATTAAGATATTACACGTAGTTTTATATTCTGTCTAGAGATGACTTCAAGTTGGTCACTCTAAATTACAGTTTAGAAATTCATCTTTTCCATATTTTGAAAAGAATCAATTCAGTTCATCATAATTTACAAAATTTGTCGACACAGAAGGCTTTGAAAGGATTCCATCATAATTGAGAGGTTGTTTTTATGTATCACCCTGTATATAACATTACAAATTTAATCTTTTGTATCCTTCCCATTAAGCCTATAGACATTTTCATTATGAAATAATATGTAATGTTCATGTTTTCCAGGGGTCTATGGCGCCAAGGGTATCAGTGTCAAGGTAAAATTTAAAAAACAATATATAGTAAATAGAGATTCAGATTTTTCATGCTCAAAATACATATTGTGTTTTAGAAAGCAACTAAATTCGACATATCTTTCTATCTATGTAAGTTTATAGTTTTGGATATTGGTCATGTTTCTATCTCATTCTAGGTTTTGCAATACCGTGTTGTTTTCCCCCTATTATGGTTTGAAATATATTTAATTGAATATTTTAATGAGATATAAATTAGATTTTTCTAGTCTGGAGTGCATTACAATTGTATCAGTTTTTTTAAGGAATTCATGTTTAAATTTCAGTATGTACGTGTGTAGTCCATAAACGATGTCATGAGCATGTGGTGACAAAGTGCCCTGGTATCAAGGACATGTCACAAGAAGAGGTGAGATGAAAAGATTATCGTTATGTGAAAGGAATAAATTTGGATTAAAATCAGATACTTTTGGGGGAACTGTTGTGGAGTGCATCAAGGATTGACTGGTCAAAATTGAATTATTTTCCTATATGTGTTGAAATCTCAACTGCCCTGGATCAAAACTAGGTGCAACCTGATCTGTTAGTGTTGGAAAACCTACCTCATGAAGAAGGGAGAATTGTTATGCCTTCAACATAGGGGAACCTCTATACAACATCTTATTGAGTCACAAGTCCATTGAATTACGCATTCATTGGTTACAAATCATTCACATGTTGATACATTGATCACTGAAGAGCAAACGCCCCTTTGTATTGTATCCTATTGAACAAACGGCTTCAATTGAAACTTTAATGCCTCACATTTTTACATTTCAGCTGGGTGATGCAAGGTTTAACATAAACATGCCGCACAGGTTCCAAGTGCACAATTATAAGCGCTTCACATTCTGTGACCATTGTGGCTCTCTCTTATATGGGCTTATCAAGCAGGGTTTACAATGCGAAGGTAGGTTACAACAATATTAAATGGACATAGTGTTTGTGAGTTTTTTAGTGACATTGTGCAGGATTTCTATAGTTTGAAAAAAGAGGAAAAGTTCAAACCCAGTACATCAAGAGGGCAAGCACCAATAAAGAAGGTCGATGATCAATGAAACATCTAAACTTGCAAATCATCTACACATAGTGGGTGGATATTAGCACCTTTCAATGTCAAACTTTATGTGTATTGTTAAGCACCCACACTATTTCATCCTTAGACTGACACAACTAGGTTGGTGCCTTTAAAGGGGAATTGGGCAATTTAATAATTTTGTAAAAATTCTTTTCTTTCAGCTGTAATAGGTGTAAATCTCATCCTGAGAACCCCTAAAATATTTTTAATTTGTAATAAAATGTCACATACACAATAAATACACTTATTGGACATGAACCTTGTTAATGTAGAAATTTAATTCATTACCTTTTAAAAATAAAGAAGAGACAAGTAGTTTTCAGAATGTTTGAACTTGTACTGCTATTAAGAAAGGGATTATTCAAGTTTAATTATATCAGGGAGGGAGGTGGGTTAACCACTTAATGAAATAAGTTTCACTTTCCACATCTATTGACCATTGAACACAGGTCCTGTTAACTACATTAGGAATTTTTGTGCCCCAAAAAATTAATCAACCAACTCATTCATCATTACTTACCTATCTGAAATAAAAATAATTGAGTTGATTTAGCTCCTTGAAAGAAATATACATGTATATACACTGTATATGAGAGTATTGACTAATCAAATATCTTATTGATAATACCGATGAATGACAACTCTGATGTTTCATTTCAAATTATGCAGCCACCCCTCCCCCAGTATGCAGTATATTCCTGTATTTATTGCAATAAATCTCAGACCAATAAAACATGTATGTTGTAGTATGTAAACTGAATGTACACAAGAGATGTCAGAAGAATGTGGCCAACAACTGTGGAATCAACACTAAAGATATGGCTCAGAGACTTATGGAGCTCGGGATCTCAGGCGACAAGCTTAGTGTGCGCAGGAAAAAGGTCAGTCTCATTTTAAATTGTTGGACATTATTTTGTCATTTTCATATGAATATTCCTTGGAGTTCCATGTATCCCAATTTTCCAACTGAAACATGATTTTGGTAAAATATAAATTTGATTATAGCTTGTCAGTAGCTTGTGAAACTTTAATATACTCTGAATATCTAACATGGTACATTCAAGCTAGAAGCAAATTGTGTTGAATCACATATGAATATTATACTTAATAAAAGTTCTTGACATTTGAATATTTGTCTGTAGCTGTCAAGCCCTAGAGCATCATCCAGGCCTCTCTAATTAACAGCTATAACTAATAAGACTTAATGATTGATAATTAATTAACGCTTTTAAGTTATCTTGGGCTCGTTTTGTCTCAGCAAGAGGTTAATTTGCCCAGATATTTCTACTCTGTTATTTTGTTACAAATATGTTATTCACATTTCTTCATAACCACCATGAATTGACACAAACAAATGTTGTTTGTTTGAAACTTGCTTTCGTGATAATAAAGCTTAAAATTTGTTATTTCACGATTTGTATATTCATTTCTGAATTCATAATATATGATGTTGGCATTTAATAATGTTTGATATTTCCAATTTGTCTAATTGGACAATTGGTATTCTGTTGTAAGAAGTTTAAGGTAGCATTGATATTTGCTTTGAGGTTTTATCTGAGGTGTCTATTGCAATCACCCACTGTCTGTGCATCTGTCTGTCCATCCATCTGTCCATCCATCTGTCCATCTGTCTGTATCTGTATTTGTGGGTCTTATAACAACAATTAGAGGATTTTAATCCCGTTTTGATACATTCTTCATATTATAATATTTTGGTTCATTATTTGTAGACATAACCAATCATGATAAATCATGACATTTTATTTTTCCTCAGCCATGTCCAATAGAAAGATGAAATGAGTATCCGCATGGCCAAAACCCCTTTATGTTATTTTTGAGCAGGCTTCATACAGACCTGCAAATGTATTAATTTAGTAGCACATGGAAAGGGGAGTTTAAGATTAGGCCCAAGACAGCCTAAAATGTTAAAAAATGTTAGTGGGAGAAAAATTTTGGTTAATTCTGTATCAGAACTGAAAAATTAATCAAAAATTTATGAAAGAACTTTACTACACTGTTTTAATAGCAGTACCACTCATAGTTTCCACCATTTTGAAAACATGTGTAGAACCTGTTTAACCTGTCTACCTAACCTTATGTTTTAACTTAATTTCCAGACTTCAATAAGTGAGTCCGCTAACTCCCCTATGTTGAAGGGTCCCCATGCACACGAGCGGTCAATGTCATCCCCTATACCTACCATTATAGGTAAGTGAACAAGTGTATGGTTAATAAGCTACATTAGGCTAGCAATATTATAGCATGTTTGTATGTAGTATTTCAACATATGATTTACGACCTGCCCAAATTTCTCATGGAATCTAAATTTGATTTTTATGTCACCGAAGTGGTGACATGTTATAGTCCACACATTTTTTGTGGATGGTGTTCTGTAGTTGGTGGTTGGTATCTGTAACAAATGGCAGATCGTGGCATTTTGCATGTTGATGCCTTGTTAGTATTACCATCAACTGAGACATTTTTATTTTGTCATTGAGATGCATTCAAGAAAACAGTTTTTACCAAAACGAAGTGGCTTTGAATTGAATACCTGGTCTTATTTCATCATAAAATTCTTAGCAGTTTAACCTCTACTTAGTATTCCGATTAGTCAAGTGCAATGGCCATTAGATTGGCCCTTGGCTGAAGTCCTATGTATTAATGCACAATAGACGGTGTCTGAATTTGTCTTAATCAAGCTAAGTCTTGTTCTATACAAGACATCTTTAAGCACTATACTAGGAGATTCAACCCAAATATTATGCGAACATAAATATCTCAATTCATTATTAAATAAATAAATTCCATCAACAATTGGTGCTTTTTAGAATATATACTGTACATGTAAAGAAAATACATTTATTGGACAAGCAAAGCTCCTCTTCAAATTAGACAACTAATGATATTTTACATGCACAAACCTAATTGACAGAGCAATGCTTTAACTAGTCTATTGGACATTTTAACTTGTTTCAAAATAATTTAATTTCTATATTCATAATCGTATACTGGTTATTTTTAAAAAAACACAAGACTCAAGAATGATAAGTTCATGACAACTCATTCATTATCAACAACACCAACAACTATTATTTATGCTAACATGTTTCATATGATGCAAATGAAATATTCCAACATTGGTATAACAGGCAAGACTGCATTGTGTTTAAAACATTAATTAACACCCACCCCCAGTTGTATGTAGAAGACATGGCTCAAGTGACTCAAGCATCAAGATCGACTATGATAAATGTCCGCATGTTATCAAAAAGCTTCTAATGGCAAAACAGATTTTAATGATTAATCTCAAATGTACATACTGTTTATGAATTATTAATTATAATTAGCATGTTAAGTTATTTTTATTTGTATTTGTTTTTGTTATGAATTCTTTTTTTAAATATTTTTTGTTTTTGGTAGTTGCATGTGTTAAGCTGTAGACTATGGGGCCGGGTCAATGCGTCACTGTGTTTTCGTGATAAAAAATTGGGTTTAGACCTCCTCCGTCCCCTCTTCAGTATTTGTACAATATAATGTAAGACTATTCCAGTTAAGTTCAAAATACATAGACTAAATATACTATGAGGATTTCCAACCCTTAAATCATTTTTTTACCATCTAGCTAAATATTTATTTTGTCAACACAAGTCAGAATCTGGCAAATAGATTGATAAATAGATAAGTAAACATAAACCTCCCAATCTTAAAATATCAAAAGGTGCAACATTTGTTCTCTCTAATCAACAATGTCTCTTTAGTAAAATAGTTCTACACCCTAGACCCCATACCCCCTCCCTCTAACAAAATTACTTTCTGTACAGTTACACATTGATGTGTTTGACACAGTCCCTAAAGGCCTGTTATATAATGAATGTTGTATGTTCTGTATATTGCTCTATTAACACCTTGTTTCAGATTCCAGAAAGTCAAATAAGAAACATGAATATAGCGCCACATCACGTAAATCACATACTCCTAGTCCAACTATAATCACAAATAGTATAAAAGGTAAAGAGGAAGAAACTTGGAGTTTGATCGTTGCAGTGCTTTCAGGGTGTCTTTCATCTTACTCCAAACACAAAGGATACTCTACTATCAATAACTGTCCATAGTATTTAAACCAATTGGGTACATCAGTTCAAAATTACATTTGCCAGTTTTAACCTGGAAAACCTTGTCAATCACCAGAATATTTTTTTAAAAATGAAATTTATTTTGTTTTTTCCACACCTGTTAGTATCATGAAAAATATTGATGCACATTCGTCAAAATTGTCAAATATTTTTTCTTGGTGACAAATCTGTGCTCTGAAGAGCCAAGAAACAAGATTACATTTTGCAAAATATATTTGACAGTACAATACATGTACATGTTTTATTATGATGAATTAAAGAACTGAGACAGTTATTGAAAGTTTGATTTTGATCTGTGACACTTTGCTTTTCAGTGAATATCACATTATGGGCACCAAAGGTTTATCTCATCCAAGCTTGCTTTTAGACCTACAATGTTTTATAAATCATAGTCAATGTTTATAAATCATAGTCAATGTTTTATAAATCATAGTCAAATGCCTCATCCATATCTTAATTAGAATATGTTTGCATTGAATTGTAGAGTACTTTTAATCAGCTCTAATCCTGCTTACCTGTATATGCGTTATAATAATTAAGAAAATATAGTGATGTAAACTAATACCTTTAAAGACAGTTTCATCATCATATGTTCAAAAGCTGCCATTGCATGTCAATGTTTTAGATTCTTTCTATGTGTGTCTCTAAGCTCTGTATTCCTGACAAAAGTTTACCCATATTAATGGGCGAATCACTAATTTGAAGCTTTTTGTTTTTTTTGTGAGAGGGGTGTTTTCTTGAAAATATTAGGGAGGTTAAGTTACATGTTTTTTGTAAAAACTTAAATGTGAATGTGTGTAATTTGGTCCACTATGGATTAGTTCTTCCAGTTGTACTGTTTACTTGGCTGAGTATAAAGGTATATGGAAGATAATTGTAAATAGGTTCTTGGAAAAGTGAATTGAGAGCGGAGCAGTTGTCCCCTGGGGTGGAAATATTACATGTTCATGTACAGGTCCTCTTAAAAACTTAAATGTGAATGTGAGGAATTCGGTCCACTATGGATTAGTTCTTCCATTTGTACTGTTTACTTGGCTGATTGAGTGTAAAAGTATACGGAAAATAATTGTAATTAGGTTCTTGGAAAAGTGAATTGAGAGCGGAGCAGTTGTCCCCTGGGGTGGAAATATCACATACTCATGTACAGGTTCTCTTAAAAACATGTAACTTATTACCTTCCTATTATATTATGTTATAGCCCACAGCATAACTTGAACATTGCTAAGGTTTGCTTAGTGCATCAAGTCCATTCATGTCTTGCATGTTTGACATATTTTGTTTGATACAACCTGGTTTAGTTTGGGTAGTAAGGTGTGCTTTGACTTTCAATATACCTTCAAGGGGTTAACATGAATAGTAGCCTATATCCATGTAAAACTCTCGGAGTTCTAGTTTTCTATTATGTGCACTCACCATTTCATGGGTAATATCCATGCCCTTGTTTTACCAAGTTGGGGCACCTCAGGGCATGGTTGCTTCCTTGCATATGTACAATATTAGTATGTTAACATATATTTGAAACATTTGGGTTTAAGCTAGTAGTTTACATTTAAATATAAGCATTTTAGACAGAGTATTCCTTTTAGGTTAATAGACAGCAAGTGTATGTACGAAACTGGATAGGAAGATGGAACTAGCTGCAGATCTAAAGAATTTGATGTATTTGAAATAAAGGGTTCATCGAGTTCATATTCTAATAAACCATATGTACATTAGATTGATTTGACGCAGGTGAAAAACTTAATCCCTAACCCCAAGAGATGTTTCAGATACTTGGGGATCTCTTATATTACAATAGAACCAATGCTCAGAGGCTGTTTAACCTGTAATAGGAATCAAGGTGTCAGAGATGGTTTTCAAATCTTGACAGTTGTGGAAAAATTCAGGGTTAAAAGTTCATTTCATTGTTCAATCCCGACCTCTCTCATTGTGGAATAATGCCTTGGTCACATTTACTCCGATTTTCACTACGACGCCCAGCCGATTGAGTATTTTGTTCAAAATTGAATATGATATTGAACAAAACACTCAATCGGCCACGCGCCGGCTGATGGACTGGAGCATATGTGACGCATGCATCAGTTAAGAATGTTTCCTTACACTTGCATCTTTAAAAAGATTGACATAATTTATCATTTATTGTAGTTCTACAATAGTTGACATTTGGGAACCGATCTTAACATGTTATTTACTACAGTAAAACATGTCTTACTGAAACACCTCTCTCTAGAGAACACCTGTGTTCAGTGAACACCTCTCTGAGACACATATTACATTGACTGTTGTATAAGATCTCCTCTTTAGTGAAAACCTTTTTTGTGACTCAACAGGTGTTCACTATTTACAGGTTTTACTTTACTGCGTCTAAGTTTATTAAATTGATTGGATATATTTCAGATGAAGAAGAAGAAGGTGAGGGAGGTCAACTAGTCATGCCACGGTCAGATGGTGAACACACACCAAATAGAAGCCCCTCCGCTGAAAGAGAATCTCAGAAAGATCGAATCAGTTTAGCAGATTTTAACTTTATTAAGGTCTTAGGGAAAGGAAGCTTTGGCAAGGTAAGAGTGATCAAAACACATCTATTGAATAGAACTATTATATAATAATCAGATTTTCTGTATTTGTGTATTATTATGTATTTGTAATAACCTTTATGCCCTTAAAAAACAAAGAATCTACTTCTCATGGTCCTACTTATTTATTCGGCTTTAGTTTCATAACTATACAAAAACTATACAGCCTCATGTCATGCCTGCAGTATATTCCCTTGGGAAAAATATTTTGCAGTATTTCCCTCAATGGCAGTCACCATTTGTATAATATAGTTAAGTTTAAAATAGTTTATTTTTGTGTCACACATATCCAATCTACTTTACAATTTACTTTATGAATGAATTATACATTTATATTATATAAAAAGCATCTGAGTTCAAATATTAACTTCTGTGTATGTATTATTTGCAGGTAATGTTGGTAGAACACAAGGCCAGTGAGGAGGTCTATGCTATAAAGGTCCTCAAAAAAGATGTAATAATACAAGATGATGATGTTGAATGTACAATGACTGAGAAACGAATTCTAGCCTTGTCGGCCAAACACCCTTTCCTAACTGCCCTTCATTCTAGCTTCCAAACCAAGGTATGTCATACGACAAACTGAAAAAAGCTTTTGGAATCATAGATCTTGCATTGGATAAAAGATGGAGAGAAGTCTAATATCTTAATGTCTAGAATTAATTTTTTTAAAACATGAATTAAGATACGTGGTTCAACTTCTCTACCTTTTACTTGAGTTGTATTTTTCCCTTTCACTGTACTACAAGATTTTTTTTTTTCATTTTGACTCATGATAAGCAAATGGAATCACCAACTCATTTGTCCATACATGAATGATGTCTAAATATGGTGATAATTCTTAAAATAGAACAAGATTTCGTTGCAAATCTGATTGTAACCTTAATTGATTGTCATGTCTTTTTGCAGGATCGACTTTTCTTTGTTATGGAATATGTTAATGGTGGAGATTTGATGTTCCAAATTCAACGCTCCAGAAAATTCGATGAACCCCGGGCACGATTTTATGCTGCAGAAGTCACATTAGCTTTGATGTTTCTACATCGGCATGGTATTATATACAGGTATGCTACATTCAATCTTGCGAGAACCACTTGCATTAAATTACATGTATTGATCCAAGATCAGAACCTTTATTCCTCCTTTAATATATTTTCCTTAGTTTCATACATGACTATAGTCCCTCAACTTTTTGTGGATGGTGTTCCGCAGTTGGCATCTGTAACAAATGGCAGGTGGTGACATTTTGCATGTTAATGCCTTGTTTGACTGTTTAAAGGAACATCGTTTAATGCTGTTTATATTATTACATACTAATTTTTCATTCGTTTGCAGGGATCTTAAGTTAGACAATATTCTCCTTGATGCTGAGGGCCATTGTAAGATAGCAGACTTTGGTATGTGTAAAGAGGGGATGTTCCCTGGGAAGATGACATTAACCTTTTGTGGGACCCCTGACTACATAGCCCCAGAGGTAAGACATTGACATATTTTTGGTTTCATATTTTCAGCAAAAATGTTTCAGTGATATTTCCGGTTGAATGACCGAGTCAGATGCAATTGTTCAATAATTGAAGAAATACTAGCTGACTTGGAGGGAGGGTTTGGTGTGCATATTTCTTTTTGCTCTTCTTGCACTGAGTCTCTAGCCATCCATCTCCCCCACCCCCTTAACTCCCTATTACCTATTAATAAATGAAGAGTATGGATGAGGTATTTGCTAGAAGAAGCAAAAGTGTGATCCCTTTATTTGTGAAATTTTCTTGGCAAAAGATAATCTTTAACAAGGATTTTAAGTGAGTTTTATATTTTCTAAATATAATATGTTAATTTTCTGATTATTTTAGATTCTTCAAGAGTTAGAATATGATGCCTCAGTTGACTGGTGGGCCTTGGGTGTCCTCATGTACGAAATGATGGCCGGACAGCCTCCTTTTGAAGCAGATAACGAAGATGAATTATTCGAGTCAATACTTCACGATGATGTGCTGTATCCTGTGTGGCTCAGTAAAACTGCAGTGGCCATCTTAAAAGGGGTAATTTTCATTGAATGCTTTAATCACCGCTGACTGTCCATTTGTGAAGGGTTGTGATTGATCAATTTTGACTAAGATTACTTTAGTCTTAACTGTTATATACAATATTTTAGCCAGACATTCTCAAATAAAAATTTTCGTTTGCTCTATTGTAAGCTATTTTCTCAGTGATCGAGTTGACATTTTCATCACTACTAAGAAGAGGTGACATACCTCGTCTTAGCCACTCGTTTTTATGATTGATATTGGAAGTTGCTGTCGCGAATTTTTACACTTTTGTAATTCAAAATGAATAAATAAAAAATGTAAAAAAAAAATTGTATTTTAAAACTCACCACGTTCTAACATTTTGTCATGTAAGGCCTTGTTAATGACTGATTGTAACAAACAATGGTATTCTTTGGATACCTATGAAATATCTCATTCTCTCTTGTTTCAGTTTATGACAAAGAACCCTGGCAAGCGGTTAGGCTGTGTGAAAAACCATGGTGGCGAGAGAGCCATATTAATTCACCCTTTCTTCCATGAAAAGATAGACTGGGAAGCCTTAGAAGAAAGAAAAGTAAAACCACCATTTAAGCCAAAAATTGTAAGTTGTTTTACATTTAAATCAAACACTTCTGAACAGATTGTGGGTTTCATTATTCACCCTGTCTTTGTTTTTAAAGTTGCAACCAAAAATGTCCCCTCATAACAAACTCTTTTTTACTCCACCTTTTAGAAATCCAAGACAGATGCCAACAACTTTGATAAAGATTTCACGTCGGAGGAGCCGACTTTGACGCCAATCGATGGGGAGATAATAAAAGCTATCAACCAGGAAGAGTTCAAGGGTTTCTCCATGGTCAATCCAGAATTCGGCAGAATCTCGAATCTCCCCACAGGCTGCTCATGACACCAGCCTAGTCATTGTTAACTTAACTACACATACACACTAACTTAACTTATTTCATATCAATCACAGGAGGACACCTGCTCAATGCAGCAATTATGTTGCTCGAGTTGACTCACCTGATGGCCACATCATTAAAGACTGTAATGCTCGATCAGTCAGACCTTTTTCAAGTACGCAGATTTGTATTATAGAAATCTAGCGTAGCCTCGTTTTGGATATCTATGCATTTTGATATGGGGTTGCTATGTGTATTGACTGGTGTCATGTGTGTCACTCGGTCTCCATAGCAACCTCCAGAAGTCTTGCCAATGAGCAAGCCTTCTGGTTTCATCAATAAATTCAGCAGTCTTTCTATGATATGGTTGCCAGGTGATGGGGCTTCAGAGAGCATACCTCTTTCATTTAATATATACACATAGGGTATATATGCCTCATTATAATCAGTGTTGTAGTTTCCAAGCAACATGTTGTCTAGACAACTCTACTGAAGTTGCTAGGTAACTGTCCAAGTTGCTAGGTAACTAAGTCAAGGTTCTTCAGAATCCTTGTCAGATTCGCTAGACAATTATCAGGGTTGATAGGGAGCTGTGCCAGTGTTGCTAGGTAACTAGGACAAGGTTTCCAGGCAACTACTACAAATTGCAGGATACTCTGCCATAGTTGCTAAGCAGTGCATCAGTTTGCTAGGCAACTTATCAGGGTTGTGCAGAATGACCTGCACCAGGATGACGCAAGTGATAAACTTTAATAAAGATTCAGCAGCTGTACATATTATCAGAATTACTGTATTATAACATTGCACCGTACAAACTAATGAATCAAAATGTAAATTATACAATGTACAACTAGAAGTGAAATTTGCAGTGTAGCCTCCCTGTTACTATGGCAACTGGCATGTTGTTGCTAGACAACTGGCTTGTTGTGTGTCTCTAGTCATAATACATAATATAATTGCAAGTTCTTACACCATGCTCATTAATAGGCACTATAGACTTGCTTCTGGACCTGTGGCGCCAATGATTTAACTTGAGTATGATAGAGTTCAAGACAAAATGTACCCTGTATCCCAAGGACATTTGAGCACTTTCAATTTTTGATAGTCAGTCTTGACCTGTATTATACTTGTAAATCTTAAATGTAAAAATGTTACATACAGGAATTGAAATCACAAAGTAGATTTCCTAACTAAGTTCTAACGTGTTTGGTTATTGTTATTTCTATGGTAACACTACGGTTTGTGTTGACTATTGATGATAACACTGAAAATGTGTCCGTTAGTCTAAGCTCTATTTTAGTTTTATTATCTAAATATGTCATAGTTGTTTATATACAAGTTTGATCTCATTCGTATGTAAAAAAAATAAATCACTAATATATAGTGGATACGTGATGTCCCTATAAGCGTTACCAAAGACTATTCCAGAATAATATAATACAAATGGGCTCCATCAGTAAACATCTTTTAGTGGACATTTTGTTAGGCAATTCATGACATCTTTAGGTTTACCATGTGGGACATCAAGTTTTCACACTAAAAATGCCAAAACATATTCTTAGTGGAGATCAATCATGTGACTCAAAGATCATGTATCATATGTGATTGGTTAAATGGAGTCACATGACTCTTTTTCAGTGTCCTGTACATCATCTTCATTGTTTGAATGAAAAAACTAGGGCTGAATCCTAAGCTTGTTGGGTCCTCATCTTTTTCCCCCATCCAAGATTATTTTGTGAAACAATAAAATTAAGGGGTATGTGGCATACTTCATGATACTTGAGAGATAAAACAGAGATTCTATGATCTATGGTGCAATATTAATGACTGAGGTCTGGCATCGGCTGGAATAAAATTATGGTTATCATATAAAATATTGGGTGGCCAAAAAGTAAAGAATTTCATGTGTAAAAAATAAAGAATATGAAATATTATCACCCATGTCTCCCTTTCCAATTTATCAATTTTGTTTACAACTCACATTTTAAACCTGTACCATTTAGGCTAAGAATGTCAAGAAGTCTTGTCTACTCAAAGCACCAAATCCCCCCCCCATTCCCCCAGAAACGGGAAAGTTCCATGCAATTGATTTCATTGAAATGATCATGAGTTGCCATTTTGTCAATTGCAGTTTCCATAAAGGGCCCTTCTAAATGACATTTTATGAGGAATTCATCTTATTTTGATTTTGAAAAATATTTGTATTAGGAAAGGTCAGTTTTAAAGAATTGATGAATTTTGTCTGTCCACCCCATTGATCAAATTAGGTGATGACACCCTGTGTCTTTGTGTGATATTATCTTTTAAAATCTTTTGTATTTATTTATATACACATGCAGGTTATCATGTATTTGATAAGGAGTAATTCATAAAATCATGGAGTAAATAATTAATTGTTATGATATGTAATTGTAATTCAATTGTAGCCAGAAAATCATGTCCTTATATGGAAGTATTCATCATGTCCTTTTATGGAACTATCCAACATGTCATTTAAACCACTTTAAATCAGCTCTATTCCCATCTAGAGTGACTAGTTTATGTTCTAAAAGCTACATGTACAAGATCAGACTGACTATTAACTACATTTTATCTTTTGTTAATACAATTCACTTGTATTTTATACTTTTTCAAGAATGTACACTAAAACTTGAATAAATTTGTTCAAGTGTAGATTTGATCTGTGATTGCTGCGCCTCTTGGTGCCTTTAACGGGGGCGCCATCTATTGCTACAATATATATCAAAGTTGACCAATATCAATGTCGATATTATTGCCAAAATAAATCCTCGTTTGCATTGCTCATTTGCATGCTGAAAATCACTGTAGACAAAACGTCCAGTTAGGTCAAATTTAAAGTGTTTGTTTAATTATCCTGAGTATTTTCTAGTTTTATTGATTGAATTCGATGGAATGTGATTTCGAGTGTCAAGATTGGTCAGCTTGGATATGTACTGCAGTGAGGTCTGCTTACCAAAGAGGCCCTGTGATAGCAAGGCTATTGCAGCAAAATTTTAGTCCCAAACTGCAACATTATATAATATACATATACTTAATACTATCATATTATTATATATACACTAAATGAACTATACACAAATGACGCCATTTCTGTTAAGAATAATGTATAATTGTAGGTATGTATTATTGTAAAAAGGCAAATGTATTTATAAGCAGTTATATATATAAAATATGAACATGCACATGTGAGTGTGATGTCCATCTATGTATCAAAGTATATAACCATTCGACTTGCAGAATCTTCAATAATGAATCTCATTGTAAACAAATGCAGTTGTATGAATGTATATATTTCTTATCAGACAATATAATGGTCCAAGTTGACTATGAGAAAGATGACTGTTAATAGATGGCAGCATTGGAAGGTGACTGTCACTAGATGGCAGCATTGAAAAATGACTGTTAATAGATGGCAGCATTGAGTGAAATTAAGTCATATTCAGTAATATGAGAGCTTCAAAATTCTCAAAATTGCACTTCAATGATAATACCAAGAGCACCTATGTAAATTCTGATTCCAAAAAGAAGATGGCTATTTATTTGATACATGGATGTTTGAAGTTGTACATGATCAATTATGAAACCCTTCTCAAGACCGCATGGTTTAAAAATTGAGGGGATTTTACTGCGAAATTAGCCCTGGCTGCCATGTTTCAGATACAAGAGGGAGCATGCCATATTTGAGTGTATAGAGGGAGCATGCTGTTTGAGTGTATAGAGGCTTACATCATTTTTTATGATTTTATTCTCAATTATTCACATTCTCTGTTATACATATATTATACTTTTACTTTGCACTTTTATTTATTGAAAACTTCATCTCCATTTCTCATTTCTACTCTGAAACATTTGATACTTTATCATGTTATAATGTTTCCCTATGTTGTCTCATGTTTGGTAGAATTCAGATAATGTATCCAACCTTAATATTTTGTTGAATCTCTCAGAAAAACTAGTGTTTCATCTGTTGGGAAGAAAACATCCAGAAATCACTGATCATCAATCTCTAGTCTTAATATTTGTGATTGTGCTTTTTCTGTTATAGTTTTTATAAGAAAATCGGATTCCATTTCATTGTTCTTTAGTATACTTTTATATATTTTGAAAATCAGATCTGTATTGTTCATTGCAATATGATTGGTCATGGACATTTATGTTTCTTGGTTAATTTACCTTGTAGTTATATTTTAATGACACTCACAAACTCTGTAAAATAATTTAAATGTCACATTTTCTTTCTTTGAGAATCCAAAAATAGATTATATCATATTCTCAAACATTTTGATCATAGTTTTTTATTATGATAAGTATACCTATGTTTAAGCACAGCAATATAGTATTATAGAAATTGCCAAGTTAAGTAAATTTATGTCTCAGTATATATTATTGTTTTACCATCTTTGTCCTGACATTTTTACATTTTATTTATGATTTGAAACATTCAGAAGCCATGGCTTTTTAAAGTAGAACCTCAAAATTATTTGATGTTCGATTTTTAAGTTGCTGAGTTTGTTAGGTTGAGGTAAACCCAATGACAAATCTTGTAGTAACATAGCGTGTAACTATGTCAACATAGATTGTAACTATGGCAACATAAATTGTAACTACTACGGTATAGGTTTATGGTTCAATGTCATCATCATTGTAACAAAGTTATGGCTCTGGTTTCATCATTGCAATTACACATTTGGTTACAGCAATGTTTCTACACCCATTAACATGGTAGTAACTATGACAACTAACATGTTGCCATGGTAACAGTTTGTTACTGTGGTAATTACTTAACTTACAATAGATTCAAATAATGCCCTTCTCTGCTATTAGTATAGTAAATTTATTGATAATAAATGGGTTCTGATGATTATGGAGGATTACAAATTAATATAACATTGCTGTAACTGTGCTTATTTATATTACAAGTAGTAGCAATGCTGTACTGACATATGATGTAACTAGCTACATTGCACAATGTAGTGAAATCATACATACATACATTACGGTAAGTACTGAAACTGTAAATCAACTATAGTTACATCACCAATAATAATAATAACAATGCTGTAACTAAAGGTGTGTAAAATACTGTAACTTTAGCAACATTACCAAAAGTAACAATTCTGTAACTATTGTTACATTGCAAATAGCAACAGTGTTGTAACTATGTGTACAATGCTGTAACTACACCTACATTGCAAATAGTAACAATACTGTAACTATAGCTTCATTGCTAATAGTAACAATACTGTAACTATGTGTACAAAGCTGTAACTATAGCTACATTGCAAATAGTAACAATGCTGTAACTATGTGTACAATCTGTAACTATAATAGCTACATTGCAAATAGTAACAATGTTGTAACTATGTGTACAATGCTGTAGCTATAGCTACATTGCAAATAGTAACAATGCTGTAACTATATGTACAATGCTGTAACTATAGCTATATTGCAAATAGTAACAATGCTGTAACTATGTGTACAATGCTGTAACTATAGCTACATTGCAAATAGTAACAATGCTGTAACTATGTGTACAATGCTGTAACTATGAGAACCCCTTCACAATATGCCTCTGTATGGTCAGCTCCTTTAAGTTGTTCTGCTGTTAGATGAATAAACTGTAATTATTCAAGTTAAACATGTATATAAATGTTTTGTTATTGATTGCTACTATAAGGTGGGTTTGTCAGCAAAGGTCAAAAGTTATTCTAAAATACCCAGAGACTCTAAAGCTGCCAATATATTGTATCATAACATAATATTAAAACATATTAATTTATTTTTCATATTGGCTAAGTGGTGTTGAAAAGTTGCCACAGTGGGTATCAGTAGGCCTCGAAAATATTACACTTCAAAAGACCCCATCTTTCTAAAAAAATAGTTACAATAACTACCCTGCGTGCAGAGTCTAGTTGTAGAGACTCGAGACCATATTACAGTTTAGTAGTCCCGTCCCCACGACGGGTACTGGTGAAAGTTTAGGTAATAAATCACTTTTGACTTACGCGCTGACCTTTCTTCCACCAATCAGCGAGCTTGAGGAAACATACGCCAAATGCGTTCTAATTAAATATGCACATGTCATTGGTCAATTCAGGCTCAAAGATGACGTCAGAAGGAATGACCATATATAGAACGTCGGTCAAATTTGGCTGACGAACACTGATTGGCGCGGTGAGTTCACAGGTTTATTTTAGTTTGAAAGAGTGAAGACGAAGCTCTCTTTTGAGAAGTGAAGTCAAACGAATGCAAAGGGTATACAATAACATGATCTACAAAATAAAACTCTAAAAACTCGATTGTGCCTAGTTCCAAAGATATTGCCATTTGAATTTTGGAAAAAAAAACATTGGCCACCATTATAAAGCACTGACTACACTAATAGGTAACAGCCTATAGCTAACCTGAATGACTGAAACTGAAGATTACGTCCCCTGGTATATCGTAAATTCTGCCTCGCCTATTTATTTTAAACTTATCTGGGTCATTTCGCTTATCCCTATATGGTCTCCAACGGGAAATTTAAAACTTGGAACAAAACACATGTTCACATCATATACATTTGATCGTTCAAAAACTTGAAACAAATAGCACGGACTAATTTAGTGAGATGGGTCAAAACCACTAGCTAATCATTAAACAATGGCAACCTCTACAGTAGAACAAGTCTAGCAGCTCTTCCTACAGAGTGGGCCAAAATGTTCATATTTTTTATTTTGTAAGAACTATAATCTTGGTAAGCAAAAACAATAACTCTAAGAACAGAGAGTCATCTCTCCAGGAAACCATCTCCGAAACAGAATGCAAATTCCACCAAAGTGACATCTATGGCACATCCTTGATTGGAGGAGGGGTTGAGTAATTATTAATTATTAAAAGGAGGTTCCTTGTTCAAAGCTAGGTGGAAGTTTGTTCATGTTTTAAACAACAATAATATAATTCAGTAGACATTTAATTTATTACACTAGGTATTTAGAACACAATGACAAATACTTACAGTGTCTCTTACATTTAAAAAAATACAGGTAGAAGAACATGTATATGAATTATTACATAGTACTAAAACTATAAAATACATAATTTCTCTCTTATACATGTGTATTAACATTTCACATTTCCTCAGCACTGTGTCAAGTCTTTTGCCCTATTTGGTGATTTGGTTCTTTCAAATTGTTTAAGCTCAGGTTATCAAATAATGTTTAGCAGTCAGTCTACTGTTTTATAGACAGCTGAGGGAAAGTGGCGTTAATATTAGTAGATCCCCAAAAACTAACAATGTATAAAATACTAATCACCTCAATCATAATTTCTTTTCTACAGGAACTACATCTTGGAAATTAGCATTTAAAACCAATGGAAGAAGCTGTAAATATTGAATTTATCATATAGTCTAAATTAAATTGTCTGTTGACAGAGATATTTAATGATTATTATTTCAAGGAGCCTTTTATCGCTTTTTAAAAAAATCATGAACTTTAATATCTATGTTCTAACTCTTAATATTAAATTAGCATCATGAATAAATAATATTTTTTCTCTCGTTTGGTTAAGATACCGTCTGATCTTTTTCAGATAGTACATTAGGAATAGGGATAAACATAATTGGGCACAAATTGCCTCTAAGACAGCTTCTCCCTTTAATTTTACCAACTAGCAAATCCTCTAAGGGGAGGGATCAAAAGTTGGATTGGAAACTAAATAAATCTAGTTTTGACTCTGACCCCCCCCTCCCCCCAAAAACTAAATACCATGAAAGTTGATCGCTGACTTCCGGTTTGAGAATTTGAAAAATATTTGCTAAACACGATCTAGTTTTTTTTTAATTCCTATCGTCATTTGCGGCTTTTAACAATTATTGCTAGAATAGAATCCTTTGGAATGATCTTGACGAAGAAAGCATCAGGTAAATTCTTTATTTTTAAACCATTCCAAGGCATTCTGAGTCAAAATTGCCGAAAATTTGAAATGTTGAAATTTGTCGGATAGCAAACTGAAATGGGTTTCAACCCCCTCCCCCTAACTAGATTTATTTAGTTTTCTGTCCGACATCGAACTTTTGATGCCTCCCCTAAATAATACAAAATAAGGAACCTTGAAAATCAGAAAATTTGATACAAGATCATTTGAAATATAATTTAACATCTTTCTTCATCTTACATTAAGTATGTGATATTAACATGCCTAATCTCTAATTGTGCATGTCAGCTGTCAATATACAAACATACATTTTCTTCAGCTTTGTACATGAGCTCATACTTATAATACTTTTAGGGACCAGGTAAAAATGTCAATGATTCTTTGAAGGTGGTTAAATCAATGCCTATAAATGCATGTTTGCTATTACATATTGTGGTTGGGCCTACATTGATGTTTTGATGTGATCCCTAAGACCTTATTTCACATCTGACAGAATTTAATGTACTGGGCCTTTTGGCGCTATTTTACTGTAAATGCAAAATGGTTTTATGAGCTTAGTGCCTTGATTACGTGATGTCATTAATTTATAAATACACTCATCCCAATATTGAGTACAGGAGTTTGTTGTTGGTCACACCTTTCAAATGCAAGCTTTTTATTGGTCCAGAGCAGAGTGATTACGTCAGATGTGAATCTAGAAATATTATAAGAATGCATGGACATATGCATATTGTTAACTATCTACATGATCTTAATACACAATATTTGTAGATTTCAAATCAGTAAATTGCTACTTTGGAGAAAATTATTTATTACATTTGCATAAAATACAAAAATAAAAACATACAATTGATTTGTATTGACCCATTACAGCACACCTACTCTATTATAACATACCGAGGCATTTTGCATACATAAACTATAATAAATCACTTTAAGTAACAAAATAGTTTACTAATGTACTAGAAACATGGGCCTATAAATTATATTTAAAGTGCCAGTTTATTGTATCTTATGAGTCATGATTCAACATTTACAAAATGTGATTGCGTATATTTTATTTTGTGATAATTTACCTCTACTATTTATGATTTAAAACAACCAAATAACTCAGAGATAATGTGATCAGACAATTGATCCCATAGTGATCAGACAGATGATCCTATTGTGATCAAACAGTTCCACAGTGATTTTACAGTTGCATAGTGAACATATAGCTGATTCCATTATAGAGATCAAACATTTGATCCCATAATGATCAATTGATCATACAGTTTATTCCATAGTGATCATACAGTTGATCCCATATGTTATGACCATACAGTTGATCCCATATTGATCATACAGTTGATCCCATAATGATCACACAACTGACTTCGGTGACCATACAGTTCCAAAGTGATCCCATATAGTATTCAAACATTTGATCCCATAATGACCATACAGGTGATCCCATAGTGATCAGACAGTTGATCCCATACTGAGTTCATCTAGTAGAACTGAACCAGCAAGCTCCAGGTTCCATTGAAATGTCTCTAAAAGTTTCTTACAACGTTCCCTTGATGCTATTCCAAGTCTGAACAATTGTTCTAGTTTCAGATACCTTACTGATCTATCAATATCCCAGTGGTTCTTACACAGGGCAGCGTGACTCTCCTCTTCTGTTACACCATGTACTTGTTGCTGTACTAGCCTCACCTTGTCACGTGGTGATGCACTAACCGCATCATCATGTGCTTTAGTATGAATCGGATGCCATGATTTGCCAGCATCAGCAGGTTTATGTTTAGTGGTAGTATGGGTTGATGAAGCCATTGATTCTGGACCAACAGGTTTGAAACCTGTCATACCAGACCAAGTCAGATCTGATGTATCGTTTAGTTCCAATGGTGAAACAGCTTGTGGTGCTGTAACAGTTTCTAAGTTTTGATAATTCGAACGTTGGGTCTCTTCAGTAGCTGGTGCATAGAATTCAGACTTTCCAACAACTTGGTTTCCTCCAACAGAGAATGGTTTCACCTGAGCGGTTAAAGGACTCACAGCATCAGGACTTTTTTCTCCCTTTTTCGGGATGAGGAAATAATGTGTATGTGATAGTTGCTTGCCATCTTGTTTGACAGGTGCTATACGTGCCATACTAGTGGGCTGGTCTGACCCTCTGGGGAAATCTCTAGGGGGTAAAGGAGGTGGCTCTTCATCTGAACCTGACCCCTGTTTAGCCACAGGGTCTTCATATGGTACTTCATCATACATGGGTAGCTGTGTAGGGCCTGAGTCTGGTTTGAGGTTAAATTCACTGAACGCATTATGCATCCAATTAAATGCATCACCTCTTTCGTCTGGAACCTGATCATAATACCTCGCATCCTGTGTAGGAGTGTTGTTAGGGGGAGGTGTACTTGTATTCGGTGAGGCCCCATGTGGTGATTTTGTACGATTTTTAGGAGATGTAGCTCCTGAATTAAACACTGTTGCAAATACAGGGTGGACCCCTAGAGTTTTGTGTTGAGGCTTTGCTGCAATTAGAGGTTTTGTCTTGGGCCTGACCGCTTGTTCTGTAGCTGTTTCAGAATTTGGTTGTGACTGGGGAACATTTGAGTAATAAGATGTAGGCTCTCCCTGACCATACTCTGAATGTCTCCTAGGAATGGGAGGTTGTTTATTAGGCTGGGCATTCTGGGTAAGGTTGGGCTCTTTGCTGGGAGAATGTTGGGTAGTTGGCAGAGCATGCTGGGTAGCATGAGATGCAAGCTCTGATGCCAAAGAGCTAACAGAATTCACTGGTGACCTCTTGAAGACACCATTGGAACTACCATCAGTGATAGCTTTCTGCAAATTTAAAATTCCAGGTGATATTCCAGTAGTTGGCTGCACTAGGTAGTCATTAGATTGGGTTGGTGGTTTATTGGCAGGGTCTGCCAGGGCATTCGAAGGTGGGTTTGGAGAGATAGTATGGGTCATAAAATTGTATAATCCAGTAGGTTTGATCTCAAATGGATCATCTGGAGATTTCGTTGACTCAGTTAGAGCATTAGGCAAATGCATTGTTGAAATGGAAAGTAAACTGTCAATAGATGAAATAGACATTGTGTCAATGTTGTCTGAGTTTGGCTTCTTATTTGATATTTCAGACATTGTATTTTTAGTGTTCTCATCACTGAAATCAATAAGAAGGGCTTCCGCGGGTTCTGGATTAGATTTAGATTTAATCGATCTTTCCTCAAGCTTACGTTGTAAACTTTGTTGGCTCAGTCTATGTCCTTGTTTAGAAGGGCCAGATGTTGAGGTAACTGAACCTTCACGACGTCTACTTGGGCTAGTCTTCTTTGCTCCAGGACCAGAATCTTTAACTGGGGTGTCATCATTATCACTCATTTTACGATAGTTAAAGAACTTCTTTGAATCTCTTAAGGTACCATATTCTGATTTTGATTTTTGTTTGGTTGGGTTTCTGTCTGGTAGTTGAACTATTGGAGCAGGTTCAATGTTACCACTGAGGTCAGGTGGATCCATAGGGTTCCTTAAATACACCTCGTCTATGGCCTCTGGATCTCCCCATTGTTTTCCTCTGGCATCTAAATGTCCTGTGTGGATGAAGCTATGCTTCAATGGCTTACTGATATCATGACTTGTCCTTTTGCGTTGAGGGTCGACAATTTGTCTTGGAAATTCACCGACATTGTATGTGCGTTTATTTTGACCTCTCCAATAGTAATGTTCGGATCTTCCTTCTATAACTGTAACATAATCCCCCTCTTGCATATGTAGTCTAGATTGCTCCTCGAATGTCCTCAGAGCCCTCATTTCAATAGGCCTGACTTCACAAAGGAAATCTTTCAGAGCTTCAAATGTGGGTCTATCTTGTGGCTTCTGAGCCCAACACTGTAGCATAAGCTGGTATATATCTGAAGGGCAATGATCGGGTTTAGCGAGCCGGCTCCCTTTTCCATCAATCTCCCCCAGGATCTGAGTCCCATTCATACCAACCCATGGCTCTTCCCCGTAACTAAACATCTCCCACAGGGTCACGCCAAACATCCATGTATCACTAGCATGTGAAAACTGCCTCAGTTTAAGACTCTCTGGAGCACACCAGGCAAATGGCACTTTCTTATGTTCTGTCATCGTATAGTGATCTTCTTGACTAGGGATTGCTCGCATTAAGCCAAAATCGCCAATTTTGACTTTATCACATGGTGCCAGGAGGACATTCCTTGCTGCAAGGTCTCTATGGATGAATCTTCTACTCTCCAGGTAGGACATTCCATTGGCAATTTGAACAGCGTACTCACACAGGGTTGCTATTAAGAATCTGTGGCCCTGTTGACGCAGCCGGTTGATTAGAGAGCCTCCAGGAGCAAGCTCTGTCACCTGGAATTATATCATATTGAAATGTTAAACATCTTGTTTCATTGAGCCTTATGAACTGGTCTTCATACAGCGATTGGATGTATCTGTTTGTATGATGTATTATGAAATAAAGGAAATATAAAAATTTAAAAAAAATATATATTACATTCACATTAATTGATCAATAAAATACAATAAAATGACATGAAGGCCAAAAGGCTTTCAATATAAAAAATAAAGGCTTCAACTTCTGGTTCAAATATATTTTCTTGCAACAGAACTCTTCACATTGATAAAGCAGTAAAATTATCTACGAAAGTACTTATTCATCAAATGTCCAAATGATGTCAGAATTACAAAGGAAAGGAAACATGAAAAGTCTTGATAAATATCTTACAATTTGTCATTCTATGAAGATAACAGAAAAAGTAACAGCAGACATTATTTTATATCAAAGTTATTCCTGCATGTTTTGTTTCATTTCTGGACCATGTACTAACTCTGAATAGGGAGATGGGAAATTGAAATAAATCTAATGCTTTCATAATTTTAGAAAGGTTTTGTAGCCATTTGTATCTCTATATCTGAAAGAACATCTTAGACATTGCTAATGAAAGGTATTGATAGTGATTTCTCTATATGTACACTCCAAAAAGCATAGCTTTAACCTGTTCAATGCACATACAGGGTGGGCCAATAAAAAGTGGAACATTTTTCTATTTATTTAAATGTCTTTATTTTTGCAGTTCAATCCACAAAAATTCAGATAATGGTAAAAATGATTATTTGTGAAAATGCTAAGATGAAAAATATGTATGTATGATTATTTTTGGCTTGTCATGGTCATGATCTGTATTCTGCGTGCATCATGAAAAATTTCCAAATTTTCTCTGCTTGAGACATCACTGCTGAAAATATAGTCTTTCATACCATACAATATGTACCCTTCAAATTGTCTCAACACAATTTCCATCAATAAAAACATATGAAGTTATCTCTAGGAGAAGCAAGACATGTCTCCCTTGGATAATATAGCTTAACTGACCTCAGCCTTTTTTTCAAAACTGGCACAATATGTCTCAAAAGCTGTCATTTAAGCCATGTATGACTGTCAAATACAGCTCAGACTGATTTTTCAGGTGGGCAGAGGACATATTCAGGAAACCCTTGCGTTGAGTAAAAAAAATTGGAACATTGTTCCATCGATTGTAACTCTTATGTTAGTCATGTATTATCTTCAATACTAATAATAAGGAAATTGAAAAACAATTCATTGTCAACAGCTTGTGTAAATATGAATATACAAGCTCAACATTTAATGACTGAACATGTCCTCCACCCAGCTGAACAATTAGTCTGAGAGCTGTATTTCAAAATCATGCATGGCTTAAATGATAGGTTTGAGACATATTGTGCCAGTTTTGAAACTGAGTTAAGCTATATTATCCAAGGGAGACATGTCTAGCTTCTCTTAGAGATAACTACATATGTTTTAATTGATGGAGATTGTGTTGAGACCATTTGAAGGGCATATATTGTATGGGCATATATTGTATTTTCAGCAATGATGTCTCAACCTGAGAAAATTTGGAAATTTTTCATGACGCACTCAGTATACAAATCATGACCATGACAAGCCAAAAATAATCATACATACATATTTTTATCTGTAACATTTTCACAAATAATCATTTTACCATTATCTGAATTTTTGAGGATTGAACTGCAATAATAAAGAAAATTGAAGAAATAGAAAAATGTTCCAATTTTTATTGGCCCACCCTGTACATGTATATCTGAACACCTGGATAATTCAAACAGCTTCTAAATAAAACACTATTTTCATCAGATGGTCTCACCACTTGGTCTTTCTAGCATAACTTAATTTGAATCTTATTTTTGGAATACTATAAAGCTATATGTGTGTCAATAGAAATATTAATATTTATTGAGAATGCATTTTAATATTTCTTCAAAATCCAGAATCTTGCTGATGCAAAAACTCAGAATTAGAAAGGTTTTGCTGTAGGTTTATTTTTAGTAGTACACTGTAAAGATGTAAAAACAGATGGACTACACAATCAAAGTTGCTTCAGTAATATAAGTCCAAAGTTGAATAAGCTTTTATAATGACATATTAACATACATCGGGGTATGCTATCTAAGATTGGAAGTAGGCGGGAAGTTGGAACAGTCAGAGGCAGGTACATGCATTATCATATGCACATGTGTTTGCATGTCATCGATTCTATTTTAAACAATTGAGTGACAAATCATAAACAAAATTACAAATTACAAACCAATTTTGGTTAGTTCTCAACTAATAAAATACTTGAGGTGCAAGTTCCACTTACTCAACATAAATATTGAAGATAAAGTGTCCTTCATATTTATCATACATGATTAAAATCAGTGACACTTGTTGACCCACTTCTAAATTAGTTTCATTTTCTTTTTATATTAAAACAATATTTCACAATCTCATATCATTTAATAATCAATCACAGGTCTACAAACCATTCGTTTAATTTCATACTGCAGCGTGGGAGGGGGTGACACTATATGTTTGAAAGTAGGCAACTTAAAGTCTAGGCAAGGTGGAACACTGACCTAGTAGAGGTTTGGAACCAGGCAGTTACTGATCTCATTTTTTCAATGTACACGAAAATAAAATTGCTGCTGATATTTCTACTATAGTCTGGAAAAATTATGATGCACACTGTGTTTGAGCATACATTTATTCAATATTGAGGTACTAGTATTCACCTCATTTTCAGTATTCTGCAAATATTTGTACATGAAATAATTGATAAGTTACATACCATCATAAGGGGCGAAGACAGGGAAACTCCATACAGCCTTATAAGGTTAGGATGATCCAGTTGATGCATTGCATTCACTTCTTTCACAAAGTCCTCAAATGCACCAGGCTGCGCTAGAACCTCATTCTTTAATATTTTCACAGCCACAGATATTTTACATCCTGAGGGTGTAGTCCAGTCTCCTTTCCGTACAACCCCAAATGATCCATTTCCAAGTTTGCCATACATGCATAAGTCCTTTTCATTGATGATGCATGTCAATGATTGATTATCATGGTCATATGTGCTGTAAACATTGTTAGATTTTTTTGGTGGATCTTTCCCACCAGGCAAAAGTTTCTTAAAAATATTAGTTCGTTGTGATGATTTTCGCTTTTTAACAGCATCTAAAAGTCTTCGTATTGCAGGTTTTCCCATTCCAATTCTTTCCAAGTCGTCATTTTTGACATAGTCAAAATGTGCCAATCGTGTAACTTGAAGGTCATCGCGTAGTTTAGAAAAGAATTGTTCTAATTGGACCTCACTTAGCAGTTCATATAACCACTCTTGGCTCTCTGTATCAGTCGTCATGGTGATCGACCTGAAATAAGACAAAAATATCAATCTAAAAAAATGCTTTTTGATTTTTCATGAATTGTGCCACCAACTTATAATACCCCCATCCATGCCTTTATATATCCAGCTCTTCGAAGCTGTCCATCTCTTCCAAGGCAAACTAGGAATTTCTCACTCATTGATACATGCAGATATAAAGGCACTGTAAGTTAATAAATAGGAATCTCAGATTATTAACCCTAGAGTACATTATTAAGCTCTAATTGCAACAGTCATATACAACTTACTTTCGATGGAATCCCATCATGAACCTTGTGAAAATCTTTTGAATCAATTTCATCTTTACACTTTCCAAGTTTGGCCAGTATAAAAGTATGGTCTGGCATACACATTAACTGCAGGAAACCACTAACTCAAAGCAGGATGAACTGAGCTAAAACTATGTCAGGAACTGGATTATATTTCCCACACATCCTTTACATCTGAGAAACCATAGAGAGAAGATGTATCAAATTAGTGCTAATTGGATTATCCCACTATGATGATGTTCAGTGGTATAATCAAGTTCAGGGGGAATGATAACCAGTTTTATTTGGTTAGTAACACTGATGCTTAGATGGTGTGTCAAGCTAAACTATGCTATCATGAAAAACAATGTTATCTCTAAATCCCTTCAGGCCTGTAGCCAGCTTTTGCCAAGGGGGGGGGGGGTCACTTTTCAAAAAATTCCAGGGGGTCACTTTTAACAACTTTGGGCCAAAAATGGCCAAAATCACTTGAAAAGTGGTCAGAATGGTGAAAAACTGTATGATTTTGAAAGAAATTTTAGCCAGGGGGGTTGAACTCCCTGGCTGCGGACTTGTCCTTTCAGTCTTGAGATATATGAATGTAGCTGTCCCAATTGCCTTTTTTCTCCAGACATTTAAAAATGAGCATCTTATTCTAATTCTTTGATTAAATTGAAAGATTTTGTGACCTGATAGATTGCTTTAATACAAATACACAAAAATATATACAGTGAAACCTGTCCTGTTATCAATCGCCCTTTATCTTCATACATTTTAAAATGAGCATCTTATAATGAAAGATCTTGCAAGATTTTGTAATTGGATAGATTGCTTAATCTAATACATATATCTGCATGTAGTAGATTTTTTCCAAAAAATGTCAAGATCCTGCTGTTTTGCAGAATTTGAATTTGAAATTAGAAGAGCGATTTTTTCTGTACAATCGGGACAAATCTACAGGCCAATCATGCAGATATTAGGTAAAGCAAAACTAAATTTTTCTATCTCATAAAGTTGCCGCTAAAATCGTTTAGAGAGCTTGACTCTCTGACATCCTTTCATTGATAAGAAACAGTCTTCATCTCCTTACTGTGCTGAATTTTATGACATCCATAGAAAAAATGTAACTTTCTCTTTTCATTAAATTAGCTTTTTCCTCAAGTTGAGAGTTCTGGTTTGCTGGAATGAAGTAAATATAAAACACTTTCAATCCTCAGTCTAAATGCGGATTTTAAAATCACCTTGAAATTTGAATTTGAATTTTTATTTAATTTTCTTTGTTTAAATTTGAATCTTGAAGCTTTTACTGTTGTTTTGTCTCTATGACTCATAAGAGTAAATAATATACTAACTAACAAATTATTTTAACACAAGCAGTTTAAAGGTTTTTGCTCATGGACATAATATTACAAGGAATTAAGGTGAATAAATTTTGCAAAAAGAAAGTGTTATATAAGGGATATCCTGGACCCTGGTCTACTGTATTTATGAATTCTACACGAATATTTATAGAATATTTATGTGGCAAAAGGCTTGCCTAAAAGAAATGATTTAGCAGAGATAAGAGGATTGTCACAAGCCTGAATTTTATGATTAAAGGCCCCGTGCAAAGTTTGAAAATATAGTAAAAAATCATTCAAATAATACTTTTCATGACCTGGATATTTTTTTGAAAATTAAGACTTGAAAAAAGTTCAAATATTTGAATTTCCGGCCATTTTAGAAACAAAAGATTAGATTTCAAGACCATCAAATACAATGCTTAACACCGAAACAGATTCTTTTCTCTACTCCATTGAACAGATCAGGCAAAAGTTATATTATTTCAAATATTCGATATCTGACTTTATGCAGCCACATACTTTACTTCTGTTTATTTCATTTTGATTTAATTTGGTGAATCAGCCAAATTGTTAAAATGAAATGCCAAACGCTAATGCACTAAAGCATCAAAATATAAGAGGACACACATATTATAGCCAAATTACAAAACAAACTAAAATATACAAAAGTTAAAGTCCGATAAAAAATTCTATTGAGTACTTTGAATTTAAAAAATAAGCAATTAAAGGACCATATTGAAACTGTATGCAAAAATAAAAACATTCATACAAGGCCTAACTTTTGTATATTTTGGTTTGTTTTGTAGTCTGGCTATCATATGTGCGGCCTCTTATATTTTGATGTTTTCTCTGCCATGTTATATTCGAAAAAATTAACATGGCTGAGACTACCTAAATCACAAAAGGCCACGACTTTGCTGCATATTATACCTATCTCGCACCATTAGTATAATAAGGTTCTAAGTGGCTCAAACCATGTTTTGAGAAAAACAGGATTGAAGTTTGGGACTTTGATAACTTTTTTTCTATTTATTGTAGGTCATCAAGATTTTGGGAATTGGTTAATGACATGAAACCCTGCCTTTTGGTGAATTTTTGTTAAAATTGACACCATACATCTGTTTTTTTTAAGCAAATATCAAAATGCAAATAGAACCTTTTACTGACAAAAGCTAACCAAGTTCTTAATTGGTTGCATTTAGAACTTATTTTGCCATTCATTCCATTGGGGGAAAAGCATTTTGATCAGAATCAAAATACAACAATGTCATTTTGATTTCATGTTGTCTAATTAATAACAAAATTATGAAAAAAGAAAAAAATATATATTTCTAAAAAATACAAAAAGAACTAGTAAGTCCAGACATGTCATAAAATAAGCATCAATATCAAAATATTGCACAATTACACTGTATCATTAAACAAAACTCTGCAATTGCAGTATTGAAACTTACCATGCATATATATGCAAATTAATATATTTCACTGTCATCAGAAAAATATCCTTATACATATCATGTTCAGGTTTAATGTACAGGGTGGTCAAAACAGAACCGGAGAAAAGTTTAATAACTTGGTCAATCTTGCATATTTTGTCTTGAAGTTGAAAACCCAATAAATGAACTACATGATTCTGAAATTTCAAGGAAAATATACAAAATTGACAAAGTAATTGAACTCTTCTTCGGTCCTGTTTTTGACCACCGTGTATTTATAAATCCTAAACTGCTGGCAAATATAAATAAAAATATAATTTAAAATGAAATTATCCTTATCCTTATACAAGGGTATCCTCCATACACCAATTAACTTAATGGTCTTAACCAATAGATCAGCAGTAATGACTCATGAAACACTTATAAGGTAGTGTAATAAAATACTTTGTTAAGTTAAAAAATGTGGTTCATAACTTTGGCACACACTTTCCACTATATAATGTATAAAGAATACGCTGTTATGGGCATTATCTTCACTACCACTTCATGGTTAACATTTACTTTTTACTTAATTTTCCTTATGTTTCATATGCTGTTTATTTTGCTTTCTGAATTGTTTTTTTACTGTATATTTACTATAAAAATACTATTATGGACATTATCTTCACTATCACACTATCGCTTATGTTTGCTTGTCCATAATTTTACTTTCTAATGTTTCTTATGCTGTTTCCTCTTACTTTTTAGTTTTAATTCTAGTTTTTTTGTTGACATTTACAGAAATTGAGATTATGTTTTACAGCAAGTTCGCACAGCGATCTGTATAGCACATGCTCTAGGGAATTGATTCTACTTTCAATAGACTACCAAACACATCTTTGTCGATAGAATAATGAAAAGGCCTTAAGGTCCAAACTCATTTGTTTACATTTACAAAAACGTGGAAAATGACAAAATGACAAAAGTTGTTCTAAATTTTTTAAATTTAAAACTCTTGAAACCGATTTCACTTGCCAGCTACAGATACTTTAGTCTTTCACATATTGAACATGTCAATTTGGTTCGTAATATCTCCAAATAAACAATTTCAACATTTTAAAAAACTCGATGCTTGTCCACGTGTTAATTATTATTGGAATCATGTCACATGACCAAATGTTAAGTTCTGATTGGTCAAGAGCTGAAGTTAATTAGAACCTTATAATACCAGCTATAACTGTCATTGTCTATGGAACTTTTTCATTTAAATTTGATTGGATAAGAGTTAGAACCTTCTTATACATAGTTTATTGTAAATCAAATGGACTCACACCCTTTTGATATTGAGAAAAGCATATTTAGAGCAAAGATGGAAGTTTTTCGTTGATTTCATTGGAAAGAGCATGCCCAAATTAGTCAATATGCAAAGTTACAGCATTTTTCTCAAAATGTCACTTAGAACCTTATTAAGCATTGTACATGTTTCAATTTTTCCATACTGATGCAATATGGTCATTTGATTGCTTATTTTTGACATTCAAAGTACTTGAAATGAATTTCGAATCGGACTTTAGGTCGACTTGTAAGTATGTTTCTATTTTTCTAATATACTGTTGCAATGTGGTCCTTTGATTGCTTATTTTTTAGATCAAAAGTTCTCAATGATATAATGAACTGTAGTAGTCCATCATTTTTTTACTTTTCGCGACACTACCAATATGGTTCCAAATTGTGTGTGTGTGATACCGGCATTGAAATATGATGCCACTTGCAACACTAGACTGTAGCCAACATTACAGTGCCAATGGTTCCACAAGAAATTGTATTAAGTCCTTTTTGGGCCCTAGCGGAGCCTTTTGCCCTTCCCCACTTTCAGAACAGATGTATTCCTCTCTCTTCTGAGAGGTGAGGGGGGGGGGGGCAAAACCCCATGAAGGCCCAGAAAGGACTTGATACAACTTCCTGTGAATGGTTCCAGACACAGCTTTGTATAAAAAACCTCCTACCTCATACCCACCTACCCACCTACGTGGTACATGATACAGTCATTGAAGGGTTCAATTTTAAAGATTATTAAATCTCAAAACAGCTTAAATTATTAACATTTCTACAATTCCGGCTTTATTTTATTATATGACTAGACAGATGCAGTGTTCGCGTTGACGCCGTTTTTTGCCATTTTTACGGAAATTTCAGAAGGTTGGAAGTAAAAATCAAAATCAACTTACGTCCCTAGGACGCAAAAATTATAAACTGCTTCAAGATAACTTTTACTGCAGCACAGTAGCGGTGAAACATGATTTTCATCAAGATTTTCAAACTCACTACCTTGATATACGAGCAATGATCCAGGTATATTTATATCGACAAATCTGATTGGCTATCATGACTACCGAAGATTAACAGGGTTTCCAGTATGAGACATGGATTTTGATTGGTTCCGATATATTCCGGAAAATGCCGCAATCGAAATGGAAGATCAAAACATACAATATTGCAGAAATCCCCTGTGGTTCCCCACAAATTGAAACGATTGTTTTTCACGATTATCTTTATCATTTCCACTAGAAACCATTATATAATGATCTAATGTTATACATCAAGATAAATGTTTAATGATAGATCAAGGTTTTTCATCTAAAAGTCTTCAGAATAAGGAGAAATGTTAATAAAAAGAAGCAAAAGTTCACGACCTTGACATGACCTTCAAGATCGCAGGTTTGTAAAATGTGAAAACAAAACTCTTAATTTGAGCATTTCCTTTATTCATTTCGGACTATTTTGGTATAACATTACTTAAGAATTGTGTGAATTTGACCCAGTGATAGATATTTATCGGGAGGATGCATCAAATTACAATATATGTCATTTTTATCCCATTATAGTGTAAGCACTCTATTATCGCCCACTTTATTTTCACTTTCACAATATTTTCTTGAACTTTGTGAAGAAATAAGAGGGACGCAAAAAAATTAGATGGGGACTCAAATTTTTCAAATGGGTTGCGTCCCTGGGACTCAGAAATTTTAATGGCCAGCACGAACACTGCAGATGACAGATCCATAAATAAAGGCATATGGATGCATTTTAATGTGTAATGACCAGTGGGCACCCCAGGGGAATAAATAACTAACGACCGCGAGCATAGGTCCAACAAGCCAGATAAAGAAATTGAAAGAAAGTGTGCTAAATTCGATAACTTGAGTGGGAATCGAACCCAGCTGTCTCAGGCTGTGATGTAGTAGCAACTTGCTATCAAGGGTCATTACAAATGCATCTATAATTCATCATAAACTAAGATTTAATAAACTAAGATCTTTAAAATTGAACCCTTCAAAGACTGTATCATGTCCCACGTACGTGGGTAGGTGGGTATGAGGTAGGAGGTTTTTTATACAAAGCCTCCAGACACTGAAGATGAAGAGTAACCTCTTTGTCACATGATGAAGTTATATATATGAAAACTTGTTCGAAAATATAAATAAACAAAAATATCAATTTTGTTCATTTATTTTCTTTGATTCAATTTCAATGAATGTAAGTTCAATCAATCATTGATTTGTTGTTGTTTTGTCTTTTCCAACATTTTACATGGGGCAATACAACCAACCCCACCATGTTGCAATGATAAAATTAAACTTAATATAAAGACTATTACCTTATGAAGCATCTGGTGTCTATATCATGTTATTCTGAATAACATAGTAGATGAAAATAGCTAATTTATGAAGGAATTTGGAGATAGATTTTCATTTCCTGTTTGAATTTGACCTTTCTCAGAACGAGGCTCCACTTTACTTCACTTCCGGAAATGGAAAAATCTAAAAATCTCCTCGAATTGCCCGATGGAATATTGGAAAATGTCTTGTCCTACCTATCGTACGATAACATAAGCCAATGCAGGATTGTGAGTATACATTTCTTAACAAGGAAATATGAAAAGAATAAGAGCTAAAGGACGATTTGGCCTCGCAATATTGTTTTTTATTGATCATTTTCTTTTTCTGATTTTTCATATGATGTTTTGGGGTGCACCCCAGTTCTCCGAAACCCAGTTCTCCGAAACCCAGTTGTCCGAAACCCAGTTGTCCGAAACCCAGTTTTCCGAAACCCAGTTCTTCGAAACCCAGTTGTCCGAAACCCAGTTGTCCGAAAAATTTATTCATAATTCACCAGATAAAGGGGGACGCACCTCAAGCCAGTTTCATGTCATGTATTTGGCAAAATTAATGGCATGGACGCATTCTGATGTATAGATCTCTCTCTCACGTTGAATTGCATCCATTACACGGCGTTACCAGAATGACAGGAACGGGGGATATATTTTACATTGTGATTCTAAAAAAGGTCATCAAAACACAATATATATTACGGAACAGTTGATCTTATCTTATTCAATATATTTTATATAGGCAAAATAAAATGAAACATTTTGAAACCGATAAAATAAGTTAACGCATAAAACTTTAAGAATAAACAGTACGCATATTACGTTGTCAAAATGTTTCGTCGCATTTAATTTCTTAGTCTCTGTCTCTTATCAAATCGTAAAATGTAAAAGAACAAAACATTCTAAACGTAATCACTTGGGATTAACTGGAAACGAAGACAGGCCGTGTCCTCGTATCAAATTGGATGTTCTCCCATTCGCAAGAAGTTTCATTTTCGCCATGTAAGCCTACTCACTTCATCTTTTTGAATTTAATCTCTATTTCTCGAACAGAGTACAATGAAGAATAATTTTTGGTTTCAAAAGATGTACACGTCAACTTTACTAAATAAATGCCCACTGGCTTGGGAAAACTATTTTATTTGTAGAATGTCCATATAAGTCTATGTGCCGAGAATCTAGTAAGAATATACGTATATATGATCGTGAACTTTCGGACCCATTATTGACCGGGCTAACCGATGTCAACGTGATACCAATGTTATGCTGTCCTGATTCGCGAGGTTGCGACAAGATTCGTTACTAAGAAATTTAATTTTTTAATTTTCGGAGAACTGGGTTTCGGAGAACTGAGTTTCGGACAACTGGGTTTCGGACAACTGGGTTGACCCCGATGTTTTGATATAGGCTATTTCTAGGCCTAGAATCTAGGCTAGACTAGTTCATGGAGTTCAGGGTCTAGTTCAACAAGTTAAGGTGTATTTTTGTATTACTGTGGAGCAAGTGAATTGCGTAATATTTTAATGAGTTTTCTCCTCGGTTATAACGAAAAAGAACAATAAACACTGCGGTGCAGTTTTCAACAAAAACAGCTTAGGCAAGACTACCGCACTTTGCATATGTCAAAGGCTGCTGGCTGATATTGATAGACAACCTTTACATGCATACGATAATCTGCTATATACAGTGCTGATATAAAATAATAAAAGGTGCGTTTTCAAACTAAACAGAGTGCTCCTACCAAAATGAATTTGCTATTAGAGGTGAAAAGTTCTCTTAAAATTTCGAAGTGTTTTACCTGTTAAGAAACGCAAACTCCATGAAACGAAACGACTAGAAAAAACCCTGGCACACATTGTGCGCATGTGCAGCAAAGTTTAAACCAATCAGATTATTAGATTATTTTGTGCACATGTATTATTTTCTTCTGAGCACTTACGATAAAAGCTATCCACAATAAACAAACCTTGCAGAGACTACCCTTACTTCATTTTAGCGAAATTTCAGCAATAAACCATGATGTCTTTCAAAAGAATTATATGAGTGTAAGTGCGCTTGGATGAGCTTTTTTTCTTGAAAACACGTTGGCATGTAACTTGCACTGCAGGGCTTATTGTTCTTTACGAGATACCCGAGGAGAAAGCTCATTAAAATATTAGGCAATTCACTTGCCTCGCAGTCATACAAAAACACACCCTACGAGGGGTGATCAATAAGTAATGGACGCTTTTTTACACAGATGCTTTTTATAGACCAATCCCTTCGATTTTCTTACCACTGATACATCATTCAATTATCTATCAACTCTGAAGATTTGGAGACAAAATATATAATACATGTTGATATATCTTTATTTCCGTGAAGGAGGTACAGGTACCCCGGGATCGACATTTACGTCACATATTCTGAAGCTTTTTTAGCTTGTTTAACATTTGCAGTTGAATGCAGGCTGAACAAAACATACCATTATGGTCATGAATTATCCCATTTTGTTATGCCATAGATGATTTTGAATATTTTATCATCATTATGTGGTATTGATGCCACATTCATTCAACAGGGCCCTCTAAATAGGTTCCATCAAGTGCTACATGTACACAATTCCTCATCCTCTTAACTCAAGATTGTGAGACAAGGCTGAATCCATTCTCTGACATGGTAGCAAGATGCAGTTGCACGGGTTGTTTTATTTCATCAATGTCAATAAACCTGCGTCCTTTCTCTATAGAATTAAGTAATAAAGAAATAAACAAGTCACATGTAAGCACTATGGACAATATGGTGCATTGGCCAAGGGCTCAATTTTGAGGTCCAGGGATACTGTTTTCTGAACATTTTGAGATCTATGGGCAGGTGCATTGTCCATATGGAGTAGGGTGTTCCCTTCTCTCACTACCCCTTTTTTCCACAATGCTTTCTCAAATTGACCTGCAAACCCCTTCCATACAACACTCTGACATCACAATACTTTCTGTTTATGTGTTACCAGTCAGCAAAAAATTTCAAACAACACAACACTTGTTGCATATAAAAAGTTCAAATCTAACTGAAATTTACCAGACTGGCTAAAATCTGAATATGTGACATAAATGTCGGTCCCGGGGTACCTGTACCTCCTTCACGGAAATAAGGATATATCAACATGTATTATATATTTTGTCTTCAAATTTTCAGAATTGATAGATAATTGAATGATGTATCACTGGTAGGAAAATCAAAGGGATTGGTCTATAAAAAGTAGATGTGTAAAAAAAACGTCCATTACTTATTGATCACCCCTCGTATATGAGATCCAAGTAAGCATACATACTTTATGAATAAGAACACAATAGGCCTACCCCATATCCCCCTGTGTATATATATATATATTATTGACTCAATAACCATGATCACTGGTCAGTGTCAAGCGAAGTTAATGACTGTTACCTTTGCATTTAAGATGGCGGACAGTAAGTTTTGATTTCAATATTTTTAGTTTTCATCAAATTAAACAACTTTATACTTGATATAATGCTTTGATATTTGAACTAAACCAGGCTTATATGACATGGAAAATCTGGAGTATGATCAATTGTTTATATATCATGCATAGATGCCACAGTTCAACGATATCTTCCACTGCTTAATTAAGGGAAGGTAACTGGGAGTTTGGTTTCATGACTGCTACCGTATCATACATTTCTAGTTACCTTCCCTTAAGCGGTAGTAGATATGATTTCAATTTTTCAGAGATGTTCTTTTGTATGAATATCTAGAACTAATTAATTGTAAGGCATTCTGGGTAAATGTTAAGGTAGCCTTTTTTGCATTTTTCCAGATCTGCAAAAAGTTCAATGCAGTCTGTAAACAGCAACTCAATCATGGGTTTGCCAGGGTGGACAAGTTCCATGCCCAGTGCCAGAAAGACATCAAAGTAAAGCTACCACGACGTGAGTCTGAGAGAAGAAGTCATCCACTGTCTCGTCATGTGGATATTCTTGCAGCAATTGAGACTAGATTGTCCCTGCTTACAATGACCTTCTGTAAATACATCGACTCAAATCTTTGCTGTTTTATTCCAGGCAAGGTGAGAAAGTTTTTTTTATGGCGTCACAAAGGAATTCTAAGTGTTTGAAACCAAATATTGCAGTTTACTTTCTAAGATGAGACCAAATAACCTTGACATATTCAAAACCCTAACTATTTTTACTTGTCAACAATCAACACAAATATGGATACATACCATATTTAATCAGATACTGGGCAAATAAATAAGTTTTTTGATCGATAAAATCAAGATTCACAGATGCAGATTCATCTTAAAAATATTTTATTAAATAAATGTATGTAAGACCTAGAGAACTACAGTACGCATATTTTCAAAGCTTATATCATGCCATCTGGTCTGAAAAGTATGTTTGTGCACGGGCTTTCAATAGACCCATGGTTTGTGTGTGCACTTCGTTTATCCAATGCTTCAAATAAAAGTAAAAACATGTTGCCCTTATTGAGCAGATCTTTGTTCCCTCTTCAAAAGAGGAGACGCGAAAATCTTTCCTTATAAGGTCAAAATATTCCCATGATGCAGTTCGTGGAGGAACAAATTTATACTTCCTTGTGTTCTCTCATAGGTTTAATATGGGGATTTTTACACCTATTTTTCAAACGATATATTCGTTCATATTCCCGTACGAGAGCACAGAAAATATTATCAGAAACGATTGATCTCTTATTAATCTTAATAAAACAGATATTTTTCTCATTATATTCGTTCATAGCATGTTGAAAACTATAATTGAAAAGTGAGAAAATATTCTGGGAGAGAAGGTCACGTGATCAGTTTAGTAGTTGCCATATTGGAAAAAAACAATTCCATTCGACTTTCAACACTTTCATGCCAATCTTACCGCACTACAAACTGCAACATCAATGCAACAACTGAATAAAAGAACTCATCTTTAAATTACATTATAGAGTTACGTAGAAAACCCACAAACAACTGAGCAGTTGATCAAAGAAGACGCGGCACTATTATCTAGGTCAATCTGTTCAGTGGTTCGAAAGCAAATCTATAGTACTCGTTTCCGAAGCTTGTTGTTCATTGTACAATCTTTTATTGTTGATTAAACTTGGTATACTGACAAAGCTATGACAAAGAAGAATACTTCTGATGGTGTCATTGTTTTATTTAGCATGTGGGTATAAAAACAAATTAGCGTAATTAGTTTGATTTAGAACTTTCGGGTCACGCAAATAGCTACGCGAAATCCATCATGGGAAAGTATTGACCAATCAAATTTAGTCCTTTTTGAGTACATATTTGCTCCATATTTGCGAACATTCAGATTCAGAGAGCGAACTGCGAAATGGACAATTGTAATAAACATGTCCCAGATGCCTCTCTTGTGGGTGTTTACTGCATAAGAAGCCATCCTGATGTTTGGTCGTCAGTTGTTCAAATGATTATACTTTGATGTTTCTGCGTCTAAAAACCTAGTTGAAACAGAAAGGAGTGAAGTGAAGTAATGTTCTTCTGTATTCTAGCTAACCTATGTGTAAATATTAACAAAAAAGTATTCTGAAATGAAATGCAAGGAAAATAACGGCTAAATCAATTTGAATCTGAAGTGCGTCAATTAACGCTATACCTGGCAATTAACGCACAATGACGTCAATTGTCGGAATAAACATAAAACGAGCTCATTGTCTCCACTGTCTTAATCAATGTTAATAATCTTCAAATGATTACTATGATTTCTTTTATTAGAAACGTCTTGACTTCCCAGCTTCATAAAAAGAACATTATCACTATTTCTAGACTCAAAAATTTGAGTTTGAATCTTCATGCATATTTCGCAAATATAATCACCAGAGAAGGTTTTAAAATACCATGCAATCATCTCTTATAAGCAAGAAAAAATATTTGCTAACTATTTTATCATCTGTATGGTAAAATGTGCCTTTAAGTAATCAGGATGCTCCATCGCTTAAATCAAAATAACACATACAATTTTTTTTGTATATTTTAGGCCTTAGGGAAATCTAAAAAATATAAAGAAATAATTTACGAGAAAACAATTTAGCTGCACACAAGTTAAATATGCATTTGGACCATACAAATGAATTTTACATAATTTTATTTATAATTATTTACAGGTTCTTGATGAAATATTCCGCGTGCTAAGAATGGTCCGCAAAGAGGATAATCCCCCCCGGGCACATGAGCTTCTCCAGGAGCTCCGAGATATATCCTCTATGGCCATGGAATTCTTCGATGATAAGATTGCCCCGGGTCTCAAGCAGCATCTGTCAACCTACCCCCTGCATAATCGTGTTCCTGTGCCTTCATTTGGGAGCTACATCAACAGCACTCCTATAATGGGCCAGCCCAGTACATCTGGAGGTTTGTTTTAACATTACATTTATATATATTTACCTGAGATTAGCATAATACTATCAAGTTTGAGGTACATAATATACTTGATAAAATCATATTTTTATTTACTATATCTTCCTGTATCTAGAACATCAATAAGTTTAGAATAAATGAGGTAAGATATCATATTTCCCGAGGGATATACCCCATATCCAAAACTGACCATCACATATAGCTAATCTACACAAAATACCATGATAAACAAATGTAATAACTGCTCATTAAAGTACATTTTGGGAGTGTTTACTTTCAGGTAACCATAGTAACCAGGGAGCATGTAGTATGCCAACTCCTAATATGAGACAACCATCGCTCCGTTATGAACTGAACATAGCTCAGAAACAGATAAGAAATGTAAATGTTGCCTTTCTCTCATTCAAAAAGGAGCTCCAAGATTGTAAAAATTTGGGGAATGAACAAAAGAAAAAGATTCAAGATCAAGAAAGGCAGATTACTACATTGACTCGACATAAAACAGACATGAACAATAAATTTACGAAACAGGAGTCAAAGGTAAATGACCTAACGAAAAAAATCCAGGAGTATGATGGGAAATTTTCAGATTTAATTACGGAGATTACAAAATTGAAGGAGTTTCAGGCAAAACATATGATTAATATCTCCATTCAACCAAACATTGAGCTGGAGTCAAAATCATCCATTGAGGGAAGTAAGGAAAAGCTGACACCTGGAAGAGGAAATACAAGGAAAAGAAAACAAACTGTTGTCAAAGAGGAGGGAAAAGTACCCATAACATCACCGATTGCTAAACGTACAAGGCAAAGGAAGGTCTAATTATGAAAAGAAAATGCTTAATTATAACAAAGATGAAATGGTTAAAGTGCCCGTATTGTGGCTAATGTAGTAGAATATTTATTTGATTTAATTTGATTATGAATAGTTGGATAATGTATATCTCCAGTTTTGTAAAGCAATATTGTTGCCATTTAACTGCAGTAATTTGTGACAGAGATTTGATGATATTGGAGATGTAAAAATACAGAAGTAGAATAAATGATTAAGAACATTGAAATATGGATTTATATTTTGCATAACATTATCTTGAGTATTGTTGCAAGTTGATTAAGTTTATGGTGGTGATAAAGTGGCACCCCATCAGTAATTGAGATGTCTTGGCCATGTGATTTAAATGTCAACACAATCACAATATCTACATATTCATGACATATTTGGGGATTCAGGAATGATAATGTCAGTTGACAGTGACACACCAAACTCCATGCAAATGAAAAGTTAACATGTTCAATTCTCGTTTAAGTAATGAGAAAATACAGCATTGCAAGTTATGTGGCTCCGATTTCGGGTTACTTCCTTTGTAGAAAGTGACCGCATCATCCAAATACTGAGTAGGTCTCAGGGTTTTGCCATGACATCATTCTATTTAGCTGAAACTAGCAATGCCACATGAGTGAGACTGTTGGACTTGGAACACTTGTGTTATCTTGATGTAATTTCTGACTGAATCTGACAATCAAAAATGAATTAATAAGCCTATACAATTGTTCATAAAAATTATTAACAAGTATTTCTGAGATGCTGTATTTCGACCTATGTTGTCATATTCTGAATGCCTACCCCAAACATGTCAAGAATAAGAAGAAATAAGAATAGTTTTGATTGTAATTTTACTGTAGTTTTAGGATATATATTGGATAAAGGGTTTATCCAACACTGGGGGATCCATGCCCTTCCCCCTAATGCAATCCTGGAAATGATAAAGTTTCAAGTTTTAGGCCTTATTTTTTGAAAATTGATCAAACATGGTATTTCAATAGTCATAATAATACTCTCCTTTTCAATGAATATCCATAACCACCCATATGTATGTGGTGTTAATAATTATGTGCCAAGGACATGAAGGAGGAACTACTTAAAAACTTTTAGTGTATACAATGAATTTATCCCATGAACTGAGCTACACTAACTAGTCAATTTTCATCCAATGATATAACATTCTTTATGAATCACTGAATTTGGTACACAAGTATATTAGTAATTCAGAAATCAGACATGATTTGCTGATATTTTTCTGGAATTATATCATAAAGTATAAATAATTTTGGATGTGTTTTAAAGCTAGCAGTTCAACAGTTTGATATGGGACACAATTATAAGTTTTGGATCATGTTTTTATTTGCAAGTAAAAAATGATATTCATTGGATATGGCATATATCCCATGGATATGGTTTATTTATTTACACACCAAGTAGTAAAGTCATTAGCTGAGTAAGTAGCTGAGCAAGTAGCTGGTATTTTTCAATTCTTTATCCAATAGTAGATAGTCCATACTTTGATTGTCTCATGAATGGACAAAATTAGTTAAGTAACAGATACCATACAAATTATAGGAAATGCTCTAAATATGTGTCATGTATTCTTTGTGTTTGGGTGATCAAATTGTTCATCAATGATAAATGTAAGAGATAAAACATTTGATGAGTATTGGATTGTGACTGAGTTAACATATTTAATCATTGAAATGCATCCTTATAGCTTGGAATTTAATTTAGATTCATAGCAGCACAAACAATACACATATAAGATGCAACATTTATGTCGTGTGTTACAATGGTCTGATGATCTAGGAGTTAGATATTGCCATTTCAATAGTACTGAAGCATTGTTCACAGATATTACTTTTCTACTGGCTAGTAATAAAGTCAAAATGAAATTGAAAAAAGGTATTTTTTCATTTTTGAACCACAACACATTTCTTATATTATTATCATTCCACATAACAATTAGGTATATTTATTACTTTCAAAAGTTTCTTAATAGGAGATAAAATGGTTGTAAGTTGCTTTGGTCTAATTGCGTTTTATCCGACAGTTGGTTGTTCTGATGGTTATTCTGTTGATTTTCCCAATATATCAGAGATATTGTGCCCTCAATTTGTTCTCAAGATATATTTTAGGAAGATATTACATGAGCAATTACTTGGGTCAGTCAAAAAGTTCTGTTTATTTATCTCTAACTTTGTCATTTTGAGGAATTTTTTCTTGAAATTTGGTACACCTATAGAAAAAACATTGGTGCAAATATTGTCTAGACATTGTTTCTCAACTATCATTGGTTACTGAATAATGGTTGCTATGGTAACAGAAGGGCGATGTACTCGGTACAACCCAATTTTATTGATTTTCATACACTGTTATATTACATGAAATATACTTTAAACTGTCTCAATATTTAAAAACCCCTTTCTAACTAAGTCCCCGATGTCATATCTAAGTTTAATTTAGTTATTTAGCCTTCAAAATAGTCGCCTCCTGCAGCAATGACCTTTCGGTGCCTTTCTACCCAGTCTCTGAAGACCCCTTTGAAACTGCCAGCCAACAATTCATTTAAACGTTTGGGCACTGCTGCCCATAGAGCCTCATCGGAATCAATCCGGATCCCCCGAAGACCCCTCTTTAGATTGCTGAAGAGGTAAAAGTCACACGGAGATGTGTCTGGGGAGTATGGTGCTTGTGGAATCCTGCTCCATTGGAGGTCTTCTAAGGTAGTCTTGGTAACATGACTTGTATGGGGACGAGCATTGTCCATGTGGAAGTGTGGCTTAAACCCTCGCCGTCTCTTCTGACGTATGGCCCTTCTTGAGTGAGGAATCTTGGAACCCATTTTGAGGCCACGTAACGCTTTCTCAATACTTAAGTGATGTTCATATGACATGAGCCATGAGAAATATTCAGAATGGAACTAATCTCACCCAGTGAAATGTGCCTATCTTGCTCAATCAACTCTTGTATTTTCTCAGCATTGTTCTCATTCACAGAACTCTTGGGCCGGCCAGTCCGTCCTGAATCAAACAGTTTATCGCTTTTCCATACAAGAATTCATTGTACCATCTACGGACAGTATTATATCTTGGAGCATCCTGTTCAAAAGCACCTTAACAAGTGAATATGTCTCTTGTGGTGTTTTCCTGTTTTCTACCATACACTGTATCAGATTCTTTGCTTCCACTTTAACAACTTGCTAGGAGAATCAATATTTGACATTATTTTTTCTCAAAATCCCCTTTTCACTTTTTCATCTTTTCATCCTGAAAATCATCTAAGGCAGCTGAAAATTGTCACAATTGAATATTTCCTTGACTGTGATGTCGTCAAAACAATAGAATTGGCATCAAAACCTGTCAATTTGCACAATCTGATATTTCAATATGAAAAACTGTTCAATTAATTGATGCCAAATGAAATTAGTGTGACATTAAAAATATGACGTTTTTTAGCTGAACCGTGTACCCCGCAATTCTGTTACCATAGCAACCATAATTCAATAACCAATCATAGTTGAGATGCAATATTTAAGCAATAGTTGCACAAATATATGTTCTATAGATGTACCAAATATCAAGAAGTAAATCCTCAAAATGACAAAGTTAGATATAAATAAACAGAACTTTTTGACTGACCCAAGTATAATGGGACATCACTGATTGTCTTGGGGAGAAACCTAGGTGACATTCCCCCCTTTAAAAAATATCTAACATTTTGTTATGCGGTGTCTGTAACAAATGGTTTCTGTAATAAATGGCATCTGTAACAAATGGCAGATGGTGACATTTTGCATGTTAATGCCCTGGAATTATAATTGCACCGTTATTGTATAGTTATCACTGTATGTAATTACCTAGTCAGCAATGAATTTTTCATATTATAATACTCATTCTGCAAACACATCATGGTCTCCCTGCGAACTATGTTCTTCTTAGGCTCCTAAAACAACTTTTTAAATTCATCTAAAATTTCTAGATGTTTCCATTTTGTAGTATTGAAATGGCTAAATCTTTGATCTAATACTTCTGGACCACCATTTGGGTGTATTACATGATAGTCTATGTATTACTTGTATTATGAACTACATGTATTTGCTCATATATGCACTTCTTGTATTATGTATATTATTATATACATGTATTATATACAGTAGTACATGTATTGTGTACTACATGTATCATGTACTACATTGTATATGATTTAATGTACATGTAATAAAACATGTTTCATGTGCTACATGTTATGCACCTAGACCAGTAACCTCAGTCATATCTGTTCTTCTCAGTCAATGTTCTAAAAGTTTAAATACACACCTATCAGGATCAGCGTATAAATCAAACACCCTAGCCTAGGGTGAAATCTTGATTATATTGTAATAACTATGAAATATGTGTGTTTAAAAATAAATTATGAATCAAATAGATAAATGCTTTTGTCTGATAAGTGAAATTTGTTTGATTCATTCTACTTGGTCATCGTTAATTTACCAGATAATTCATTTTACTACGTGGTCTACCTTAATGTACCCGATAACTTCTTCTTGGTCCACTTTAATTTACCAGAAAATTCATTCTACTTGGTCTACCTTAATTTACCAGATAATTCATTCTACTTGGTCTACTTTAATTCACTAGAAAATTCATTATACTTGGGCTACCTTAATTTACCAGATAATCCATTTAAGATAACTCACTCTTTCGGTCTACCTTAATTTATCAGATAACTCCTACTTGGTCTACCTTAATTTACAAGAAACTTCATTCTGCTTGGTCTACTTAAATTTTCAATTAATTTATCATATAACTTCTACTTGGTCTTCCTTAATTTCATTTTCATTAATTACATTTTGCTCCAATCTAGATGCATCGTGTCTTACCATTTAGGTAGACCTAAAGGTATACCCTTACTATCACCAATATATATATAGTGACTTCTTTTTAACCTTCCAGTTCATGATAATGTGTTATGAAAAGAAAAAAGCCCAATACGGTTGTGTGAATGTACAATCTAAGTCAACTTTTGTTAAAAGGAACCGAATGTTTCTTTTCATGTTGGTTGACGCTTAAGAGTTATATTCTTACCTTGTTTCTGTGGAAATCTAAATAAATATTTTTTCTCTGAAATTGTTGAAAAAGCCAACGAATTTTGCTCAAAATTAGAAATGCAATTGTGTCGTTTACCACAGTGGTTTACAATACTTGCATGATCACTGGTGATCCACTCGATTACGCTGGTTACCGAAACGGTTCGTTTTGGTAACAAAATGTCGGAACGTCGAAGGTACGATTTTTCTTTTTTCCTTATTTCACACGTTGTAGGCAGAATTCCCACATTTTTTACACAAACGTGTATCAGTATCATATGTTTAAAAAATGTACATATTTGCGAACAAATAGTTCAGAAGACAATCGTCGATTTAATTCCTCACTTAAGTTACATAAACGGTTTTTCGAAAAACAGTTAAGATCTGCACTTTTAACCCAAACCGTTTATGTAACTTAAGTGAGGAATTAAATCGACGAATCTGTTGTCGTCTGAGCTATTTTTCGCAAACATTTACATTTTCTAAAACATATGATGCTGATACACGTTTGTGTGAAAAAAAATTGTTGGGATTCTGCCTACAACGCGTGAAATAAGGAAAAAAGGAAAATCGTACCTTCGACGTTCCGACATTTTGTTACCAAAACGAACCATTTCGGTAACCAGCGTAATCGAGCGGATCACCAGTGATGATGGTACATTAGGATTAAAACGTTAATGGTATCATGTACGTTTTTAGTTTGACATTTGATTGTTGATAGTCATTGAACACGATTCGCCTCTTGTGTGTTTAGTGAGAAAAGTATCACGATGTGTGAAACCATAAACATGATGAAACAGAATACCAAACAACAACCATTGCAACCTATGTCGGATGAATACAATTTTTAGCAACATGAAATTGTAATCAATCCGTCCACAGTAATGACCACATATCATGTTACGTTAGTCTGGTTCCACAAAATTATGGTTCACTATGCAAAATCCAACCATTGTATCCTATGAAGGATATGTCTGATGAATACAGTTTTAAGCAACATGAAATCATGACGAATCTGTCCACAGTAATGACCACATATCATGTTACGTTGGTCTGGTTTCCCAAAATTTAGAGTATAAAAGTGTTAACATTTCACCTCTCTACCTCTTTCATTTGATACAACATTGCATCTCTACAACATTAACTTCAACATGAGAATTATCGTGGCATTGGTCGTCATGGCAACAACAGGTGAGAATTAATAAGCATATTTTTATCAATATTTAATTATTTCTATATTTTTCATGTTGTTGAACATACTAGCTTGATAAGCTTAATAAGGAGAACTTTTTTTCTGGTCGCTGACTGAAATTCAATGAAACGTTTATATACCATTTAATTATTAGCTAATTACTAAGATTTTGTAATAAACACCAAACATGTTTTGCAATTTTTCTTTTAAAACTTTAAGATTCAAAGGCAAGTTCTAGATATCATTTCATATTGTTTTGATATCATTTATATATACTGAGTCAAATGATTATGAATTTGAAACGATATTTTTCAAAGGAGACAATCATTATTGCATGTGTCTTTAAGTGGACACATTTGAATGAAATTATTTTACGCTCAGTTATTTTCAAATTATTGATGTAATACCATGAAATTTGAAATTTTGTTGCAAACGGAGCAATAATTACTAACGAAGAATTTCTTTATAATATCCGCCAATGCAATTTTACCTCGAAATGTGAACGCCCTCTGATTCGAATGCTTTTTCTCGGTCCCAATAGCATTCAGTTTAGTTTTTTGTATACTCCGTGGTATTGCTCCTGAATAAAAGGTTTCACAATAATCTTTGTAGGGTTTGGGCTGTAAATGTTACATAAATCATGCTGTGTACTAAAATAAAATGTAACTTATATAAAATAGGAGTGTTAGCAGCAAAGGAGAAAAAATGCAAATTCTCCGAAAATTGCAAGCATGAATATTGGTGTAACAAGGGAATATGTGAACCTATGAAAGACGTAGGAGAAGACTGCATGAGGAATGATGAATGTAAAGGTCTTTCCAAATGTGTATTAGAAAACGGTAAATATGCATTTTTGGTTCACTTTCCATTTTGGATAATTCACGAGACGTACAGTTTTTGCGAGTAACTTTCTACGAAATTGTCAAATGTCGTAATTGCTCCTGTAACGGTCTGCTTAACGAAATTATTAATGCATAAAGCTTTCGCAGTTGCGGCAGTATGATATTTTAATGTCTATTTCACTGAAACACAAAAACGGAGCAACACTTTAAATATGAATCCCGTGTGGTAGACTAATCGGAAATAAACCGGTTTTGTAACTACGAGGAAGCAAACCTTGACGGAAAACGCAATTCGAACGCGAGTTTGAAACTATTATCTGTAATCTGATTGGTTGATTTTATATCAACTCACGATTGAATCGAATGTTAGATCGCCAGCGTTGTAGGGCGTCAGACGATATCTGGAGGCACGACTACAAGGTAGGGCTATGCACATTTTCTAGGTGAAAGGATTCCTGTTCATGGACTTGATGTGACATCGGGATAAAGACTTCAACGACGATAGACAGCAATGAGCAACCTAAGATAAAGGATTCGTAAGCTGTGAATCTACAGCAGTCCGTTGGGGTGCCGTAGAAGCTGGAATTCGTTGATCGAAGAAACTATCACCGTGGGATTTCAACACACAGTCAGCCAAGTTCCCCGCCATCTCGAGCAGAACTTTCCACGCCCACTTGAAGGACGATTTCCCACAACCATGTGCCTTATATCGTCTCGCATAGCTTTTATTATATTTTAATAGACATTTTAAATAGACATTTCTGTAGCTCTGGTTTAAAGTACATTTTACATAGACAATTCTATAATAATTGATTAGATTACTAGCATCATAAATACCATTGTTCTTTCTCTCAGTGCAATATTACTATTTTGATCATACTGTTCTCTATGTTGATTTTAAATAAATAAACCTTGTACATATTGTTATATTTTACATCACTTGTCGTGTTGCATATGTGTTGCATGTTGTATTTGATATATTAGGTTCTGTTTAAAAAGTCCCATTCCCCTCCCCGTTGCGTCCGGTTACATTTGGTGGCAGCTTACAGACAGCAACAACTACGTCTGCGTCTCCGGCCTGAAAAAGAGGGGGAAAGGTGTCTGCAAGCAGAAAAACCAGAGATCTGCATTTCCGGCCTGGAACACAGTAACACGAGGTTAACTGCTCAGCCATACGCATTTTCGTAAGCATAGTGAAGCTACGGGATATCAATCCACAGTTTGCCCATTCAAGTTGCTGCATGCTTGGAATTCAAGATTGAGCAAGTGATGGTGAGAGTCAAGATCGCCATTTCCTTTGTGCTTGATCGTGACGCCATCCAACGGTAGTATCATATATGTACGGTAACCAGTAACCAGGTACATTGTAGTTCAAATATGTAAAGTTTGTAAAACACTGTAAACTTTTTGTATATCTTAAAGTTAGTGTAAATGTAGTGTACACTCTAGTATAGCTCAAACTAGTGTAAATCGTACTGTATCATGTATGCTTTGATGCATGCGTAGCTTTATTGTAGGCCAGGGATTTGTAGGTCTTATCGCAAAAAGCGTAACCCTGTAAACATGCAGCAGTACGGCAACACGACCCCAAGAAATCCGGTAGATTTCATGCAATGCTGCATGTAATTTCGATTCAACGCGGTCCAGTGGTTTCAGCTATCATCTAGGAATTCAGCAAGTAGCGGCGTAGTCTACGCCGATTCACAGTCCAGTTCAGTGCAGCAACGTTGATTCATGCTTCAGCGTACTAAGGGGAGCAGTTTAGTCGAGCTAATGCAGTTCAGCAGCAGTGTAGTGCAGTGCAGTGTAACGACGCTGTAGTGAGGCAGTGCAGTACATGTATCCTAGCTGATCCGGAGTATGGTAATGCAATGTAACTTTTAATGTGTTGAAATGCACAGTTTACACGTTTGCTGAACTAACGCATTGTTATTTTACCAGTATTTTATATGATCGTGTATTGTCACCAGTAGCTATTGAAAATTGATAAACTCATTGTGTAACTCGCCACAGTTTTAGATTTACAAGCCCAATAAGGATATTTTTAGCCATTGTAATATTCTCAACAGTTTTAGGTTATTGTATATGTAACCAGTTGTAGGTTGTATTGCTGATGCTCACATTGGATACTTCAAGCAGTGACCTTGAGCACTTTGAGCAGTGACCTCAATAGCTTCAAGCAGTGACCTTCGATATCTCAAGCAGTGACCTTCGATATCTCAAGCAGTGACCTTCGATATCTCAAGCAGTGACCTTCGATATCTCAAGCAATGACCTTCGATATCTCAAGCAGTGACCTTCGACGTCTTAAGCAGTGACCTTCGGCGTCCCAAGCAGTAACCTTGATGACCTCGAATGGTATAGGCCTGTGCAGCCTGCAGTTGAAACTTCAAGCAACATTGTTAGGAAATGATTTGATATTGCGATAAAACTGATTGAAAATGTATTGAAATATCGTGAGAAACTTCTATGTAGCTTGGTCAATGAAACTTAGTCAACTAAGGCTTATACTTTATGAAGCTTTGAGTACACATAGTTCAGACTCGATGCAAATTCTAATAATGTATCAATGTTATCACATTTTGCGAGTGGATATTGTATAAAACTGACTTAATTTTAGAAGCTGTTGCAGTTCAAGCCGAAGCAGTTCGTTGCAGTTTGCTGTTGACAGCCCAGTTTATGCAGTAAACTCATGAGATATTAATGTGTATTTTATCATTTTAAAATGGACAACGTTTCAGGTTGCTGTGATTTAATGTAACAACAATTAGGTTCAATTGCTGCTGACAATTAACAAAGATACAGATTGTGGAACATACAGTACAGCAACAAAGAAGCAGTCGCATCATCAGCCATTGCCAAAGGGCAATTCCTTCAAACAGTGCTGCAGTGCTTAGCAGTACAGATTGCCAAAGGGCAATCACTTCAATCAGTGGTGTACGGCAGTATAGATTGCCAAAGGGCAATCACTTCAGTGAAATCTACAAACTGAACAAAATCGACTATCAGGTGTCATCTGCAAAGGCAGATGTATTCAGTGAACAATAAAATTGCTGTAAATAAATACTTTTGCTGCAAACTTGTTATCTTACCAATCCCGAGAGAATATACGACCCCCTCAAATAAAGTATTTTCCTGTGAACCTGTAGTGTTTTGATTATGCTGAGAAAATCTTCGACCCAAAGTTCTTGTTTTCTTTGCTGTCCTACACACGCACAATACACACACTTGCACATCAGGATCTCTCCAACCTGATGAAATATTAATTCATATGGGATTGCAAGCTCTATAATTTTTATATACATATCACTCCATTCTGCACCTGTCACAGTAACTTGAATTGAATTTACTTCAACCGATCATCGAATATCTAACAATGAATGGCAGAATGCATCAACCAAATGCCATTTGTAAATGCTGCATTGATGTTTTTAATGTACGTTGGTGCTAAACCATTGATGACCAACAATATATGAAAAAAAGTTTACCTGTATAACGTCAAAGAACGTAATTCAGCTAAGACAATATATAATTTTAATGTAAGAGTAACAAGATAGTGTGTCTTGCCCCCACATTGTGTTAATTGATCAAGACCTAGTACTGCTCGAATATATTTGACCATCCATTTGTTTGGAAAATAAATGTCCTCGTAAGAAAGCCTCTTATGTGAATGCATTCATATTACTCTATCGTCGTGAATATTTTGCGGCCATGTCATCAATAGGACATCGGCATACAACGTGTATATAGTGCCAAGGGCGTTTCGATTTTGTTACTTTGAATTTCCGTGTAATGATTAGATGGTAACAAAGTACGAGGTGGATTGTATGTCATATATTTTTGTAAAAACAACAACATTTTGCAAGCAGTGAATTTTGTGTTAGGTGGACTATTCTTAGTGTTTTATTGTATAATGGAGCCTAAGGATATGCAGCGAAGCAATAATAATTTTGAAGACCGGGAGAAACGGCAAATGAAATATAAGAAGGATGCCGAAACGTATCAACTAGCGCCATCTATTAGAAATTTTGATTCTTCGAATGAAACGGAGAACTACAAAAAGTGTACATACAAGGCTAAGCCTGATACATATAATGGTGAAATTTCATGGCCAGATTATGAGTCACAATTTGAAATATGCGCAGAGCTAAATGGATGGAATATAGTTCAGAAAGCTAAAATATTAGCAATCCATTTAAAAGGTGCTGCTAGAGAAGTTTTGACTGATATACCGTTAGAAAGCAGATCGGATTATGAAACATTGACCCAGAGGCTGAAAACACGATTCTCTCCAGAGCAGAAGGAGATAAACAAGTGTAATTTGAAGAATAAAAGAAGGGGAACGTCAGAATCGTTGACTGAATTGGGGCAATATCTGCGTAGGCAGACAGCTTTAGCGTATCCTGGATTTGACTTTTCTTTGAGAGAAGAGATTGCCTTTGACCATTTCATGGTAGCAATTTCAAAACAGTCTGATATGAAAACTTATATTAGGCTCTGCAAAGCAAAGACTCTAGATGAAGCTGTATTAGCTGGCCTAGAGTGGGAATCGTACACTGTTATAGATGGAGTAAATGCCGGGGTCTCAAAACAAAATGAAATTGAAGAGCCAAATACGATTTTGACAATAGAAAAAGAACAGAGCTGTGTTGAAAATATACTGAAGTTGATAAAAGAACAGCAAGAAACGATCAAAGTTTTAAATAGAGAAATTACAGATATCAAAGCAATGAACCGTGGTGTAAGTCAAGGAGATATTTTGAATCCTCCACAAGATATCACATGTTTCAATTGCCAGGGTAACCACACATCTAATAAGTGTCCTGAGATTTTGTTTTGTACAGAATGTCAGAGTCAAAGACATGTCAAAGAGTTTTGTAAAGCTCGATTAAGTGAAAACACAAAAGAAAGGTGGTATCCCCATAGAGAATTTTCAAGACACAGATACAACCACAGAGCAAGAAAAAGACGAAGGAATTTTGAAAAATTTGGCATTG